TCATCCGGGGTGTTGTAGACTCAGAGGACCTGCCTCTGAACATCTCCCGTGAGATGCTCCAGCAGAGCAAGATCCTCAAGGTGATCCGCAAAAACATTGTGAAGAAATGCTTGGAGCTCTTCTCTGAGCTGGCAGAAGACAAAGAGAACTACAAGAAATTTTACGAGGCCTTTTCCAAGAATCTGAAGGTGAGCTGAGCGCCCTGCACCTGAAGGAGGGAGGGGCCCATGAGTTGTCTGTCTGAGGAGCAATCTTGTTCTTGTGCCCCGTCTTCTCTGCATGGATGTTAGGATAGAAGGGGTCTCATGAGTGGCCCAGAGAACCCTTGTGGGTGGGTGGGTGGCGATGGCTGTGGCTGAGGGGTGGCCAGGTCCCACCCCGGAGGCTCCATGCGTCTCTCCTGCCCCTAGCTGGGCATCCATGAGGATTCCACCAACCGGAAGCGCCTTTCGGAGCTGCTGCGTTACCACACGTCCCAGTCAGGCGATGAGGTGACTTCACTTTCAGAGTACGTGTCCCGTATGAAGGAGACCCAGAAGAGTATCTACTACATCACAGGTGAGCCAGAACTCCTCTGTGCCCTAGTGAGGTGGAGGCAGGTTACCTGCCTACCAGCCCAAACCTAAAGCAAATTTTCCCAGGTAGGTCCTGCTGCCTTTAGCAGCTCTCCCTGCTGAATCACAGCCCATCCCGGGGGGCTGGGGAAAGACCAACAGGCCTAGAGGCCCGGCTGCAGCCAGTCTTATGCTGGGGGTTCTGAGTGACTGGTGCTGTTTGTCCTGCCGTAACTGGCTCTTACATCTTGGCAACCTATTTCTGCCCCCCACAAACACAGGGGAGAGTAAGGAACAGGTTGCCAACTCGGCCTTTGTGGAGCGTGTGCGGAAGCGCGGCTTCGAGGTGGTGTACATGACGGAGCCCATTGACGAGTACTGCGTGCAGCAGCTCAAGGAGTTTGATGGCAAGACCTTGGTATCGGTCACCAAAGAGGGATTGGAGCTGCCTGAGGATGAGGAGGAGAAAAAGAAGATGGAGGAGAGCAAGGCCAAGTTCGAGACCCTCTGCAAACTCATGAAGGAGATCCTGGACAAGAAGGTGGAGAAGGTGAGATGGGCAGAGGGAGCTCAGCCCTGGACTGGAGGGAGGAGAGCTGGGCCCTCCGTGATGCAGGCAAGGGCCCCAGCTCAATGCCTGCCTCTCATCTCCTGCAGAGGAGCCGCTAAAGGAGACTGGAGGTCCCAGCACGCACCATCTTGCTCTAAGCAGCCAGGCTGCAGGTGAGGGGCACTGACCCAAATACATGCATTGAAGGGAGAGGGTAAGTGCAGGAAACGTGCAGTGGGTGCTGAAGGTGCTGGCTGAGCTGTCCAGACTAGTCTGTGCAGCAGTCCTGGAGCTGCTTGGAGGATCTCTGCTTGCTTTGGGGTGTCTCCAGGTGAACCTGGGGCAAAGACATGGGGTGTTGTGTGCTGTGGCTGGGCCCAGTCCGGGGCGTACGGGGACCTTGCTCAGCTAACCTTTAGCTATGTTGGCAGGTAACTATCTCAAACCGGCTGGTCTCATCTCCCTGCTGCATCGTCACCAGCACCTACGGCTGGACGGCCAACATGGAGCGTATCATGAAGGCTCAGGCACTGCGGGACAACTCCACTATGGGCTATATGATGGCCAAGAAACACCTGGAGATCAACCCTGACCACCCCATCGTGGAAACCCTCCGCCAGAAAGCTGATGCTGACAAGAATGACAAAGCTGTCAAAGACCTGGTGGTGCTACTCTTCGAGACTGCTCTGCTGTCCTCCGGTTTCTCCCTGGAAGATCCCCAGACCCACTCCAACCGCATCTACAGGATGATCAAACTGGGGCTTGGTAGGTGTCCCTGCAGCTTCTCAGGCCTGGAGCAGGTCCTGAAAGCGGGTTAGCTGGTCAGGCTAGTGTGGAACTGTCTTGGGGCAGGGGGAGGCCAGTAAGTGATGTGCAGGACTGGGTGTGTATGTAAGTAGGCTAGGGGCAGGTGGAAACCTGGAACCAAGGTACTTTGGGAGGACTCAGGGCTCTGAGTGGACTGTCCTGGCCTCTACGAGGCCAGGAGCCACCACCAGGCTGCTCAGATGACAAGTCTGAGGTTTTTTATTTCTTCAAAGTGAATGTCTAAGAGTCTGTCATGGGAGATGTGACCCACCTGGTGAAACAGCTTGTGCTTGCACCCAACTTTTTTCTCCAAACTGGCTACTTAGCTAAATGTAAATCAGGAGGTGCTGTGGCCTGGCATAACTCCTGGATGCTAATAGCTCTGTCCCTCAGGCTGTGGGCAGGAGCCAACCTTTGGTCTGGGAGGGGCTGTGCTTCTGGGATCAGCTGTCCCTTGGAGGCCTCATCTCTTCCCTCCCCTCTCCCAGGCATTGATGAAGATGAGGTGACTGCAGAGGAGTCCAGCGCTGCTGTCCCTGATGAAATCCCCCCTCTGGAGGGAGATGAAGATGCCTCCCGCATGGAAGAGGTAGACTAAAGGAGGAAGAAGCATCTTCCCTCACCTGCCAGGCCTCTGCCTCATGTTACGTCTGCTTAGAAGGGGGGTCTGCTCCCACCAGCTGCTACTGACTTCTTGGTGGTGTCTTATATTTTTGGAGTTGTTTGAGGTTGTTTTTGGCAGGGTGTAGGAGGGCATGATTCTCTGTTTGTCAGTAGTGAGTGACGTAGGCAGCCTGAGGCCTGTCTGTTCTCTGTCTTTCTGCTTGTGTAGGAACAGCTGCTGGGGAGTGGAGGTGAGGAGGCATCAGGCTTCCCCTCTCTCATCCCCATGGGGTCTCCCATGTTTCCAGTAGGCATCAAACTGGGGTAGGAGAACCCTTCCTCTGAGCTGCTGCCTCCCTGAACCCCCAGGGTAGGATGTTGTATTTTGATTGGCTTGGTTATTTTTTGTTTGATTATTTTTCTGTTGTTTTGTTCTACCGGAATTAAAGTATCAAAGAATGTGACTTACATGCTGGGGTCCTTGTTTCATGCCTACCCTACAGAGGAAAGAGTCTCAGCCTGTGCCTGGGGGTGCCAGGCTATTGGTCTCTCCTCTGCCCTGACTAGTTTTCAGAGCCCTACTTTGGGTGGTCCCTACCCCTTCCCCCTGCCCAGGCACCAGGAGTTGGGTAGGAGAAACACAGGACCTGCTGTGCAGGTGGGGTCATCTCCCAGGGGCAGTAGCTGTCCCCCTAGAGTGCTGCACACCCCGCAGCCCGGGGACAGACCTTTCCCATCTGCAAGTTGTGCCAGGACCTGAGCGGGCACTGCTGTTGGCTGCTCCGACCCCAGTGTCCGTGGGGGCAGAGGCTGTGGCAGGAGCCACGTGCCTGTTGCCTCTCAGGGCAGAGCAGGGGCTGGAATGACAGCGTGGAGCTGCCTCTTTTCAGCTCTTAGGCCAAAAGCTTCTGTGCTTTAGACTCCTCCTTTCCTCCCTGCTCCAGCCTGCTCTTTCTGGGCTTCTGCAGCCCTGGTGGGGGTTTGGCAGTATCTGGCCACCCCCGGCTTTTGTCTGTGTCCCAGATGATGGAGCAGCCTGGGGCATCGCCTCTGATTTATCTGCCCCTTGCACTGAGCTCACACCCCACGAATGGTGTTTGGTGCCCTGTCCACAATGGCCCCTGGGGTTTGTCAGGGAAAAGTGACACCAACATCAGGTTCTCTTGCTGGCTGCTGGCCAGCAGCCACAGGCACAAAATGGAGTGGGCTTTATGCAATATTGGTCTCTAGGCTCTGCTGTGGCCCTCGCTGCACACCGAGGTGCTGGCGCTGCCAGCGTGGCACATGGCAGTTGTTTGGGTGCAGGCTGCTAGGGCAGTGCTGGAGCAGAGCTAGCACATGCCTGCAGGGTGGTTTTCTTTCCCTGAAACAGGAGAGGGGAAAAAAAAGAGTTAGCTGGGTAGGAAGGTTTTGCCAAATAACAAATCAGTAAAGTCAATTCTTTTTAACTTAGAATGCTTTGGGTTTTTTATTTCACTATTTTTTTTTCTTTAAATCTACATTTAAATTGGAACAGGTATGCCTGGCTGGCAGACAACCTTTTTAACCTTTTTTTTTTTTTTTTTTTTTTTTTTTATGACCAAAGAAGAAAAAAATTCATTGGATTTTCAGCCTGTCAGCAGAGGGTGGGACAGGCATTTGGGGGAATTTGTAGGGGCAGGATGAAGGGCAATGAGGCTGTGCAGGCACTTTCAAGAGTTCAGAGCTAGGAAAGGAGCACAGGTAAACCTGCTCGAGAGCCAAGTGCTCTGAAGCCTGGGCTGTGCTCAGCTGTGCTCCCTGCTGCCTCAGTTAACTTAGTGCTGTGATAAGCTGCTCCTCTCCTTAGTCTTCTGTTTCTCTTGTAGCCCTCACCCAAGACTCTCCTTTCTCTAGCTCTGTTAGGCTAAGGTCCTGCCTCTGATCCCAGGCCTTACTAGATTGCATGGGCCTACAGCCAAGGTTTTTCACCAAGCCTCCCATGTGTACCAGTAGGATGTACCATCACACCCCAAGCCTCCCCTGGCTCTGGTGTGGGGCCTGTGGAGTTTGTGTTGGTGCAGATGCACCCCACAAAGGCTGGGCCCCTCCAGGGCCTTGCTACACCACAGGTGGCCCTGGCTGGCAGGTGCTCAGCAGGCCTCTGCACCACCTCTCTAGTTACAGAGGCTGTAGCTACACCCACCGGGGCTGGCCAAGCTGCACGATGTAGAAAACCCAAGAGCCAAACCAGAATCAGGCTCATAGCTCCTCGGCCTGCCCCGCAGCACGGGCAGCAGTCCAAACCTGGCTATGCTTCCCAGGCGTGTGTGCAAGGACCTCCTGTCAGGCCTTGCAGCTTTGGGTCCCACCTGGGCTGATACCTGCCTGTGCCAAGGCAGAGGCACGTGGGTTTGGAAAGGGTAAGACAACTTTGCTGTCCCAGAGGGACTAGGGACAGAGGAAGGGTTGGGAAGGGTCTCCCCTCCTTCCAGGTACCTAGGGAAGAAAATAATGGAAGAACAACATTTACCCTCAGGGCACTATATGCAGCATATTTTTAATTTAATAAAATAAAAAGAGAAAAAAGTTGCCTTTCAAAAGTACCAAAACCTGCTGGCTTGTCAGTCAGGTTGTGTTGAGGAGAAAAGGGTTAACCAGTAAAACCCAGGCTCCCAGGGAAGAGCAGCTTTCACTGCTCCATCCCCTGCTGCCTGGGGAGCAGGAACAAGGCACCGCAAGCGGGCTCTGCCCCATCTTTCGGCTCTCCAGGCACAGTGGGTCTCTGGCCAGGCCCCAGGAAAGCTGGGGCTGATGCCTCCAGCTGGCAGGAAGAAGAGGGGCTGTTTGTGCTTCTCTGAATGGCAACTGCAAAGCCCAGAACCCGTGGCACTGAGACACCCCGAGGCGATGCTGGGGCTTCTGGGCAGCGCAGCCTTTGGCCTGTGACAGCAGCGGATGTAACCGAAAAGCAACCTAGAACAACTCAGCAAGCTGTGGGAACTGTACTGGCCAGCCTCAGTCACTGCATAAAAATCAGTCTGGGCTGAGGGGCACAAAAAAAGGTATCTCAGAGCAGGGACAAGGAACTGATGAAACCAAACTGGGAGGAACTGGCTTTCACTGCAGAGTGTCCTCCCAGAGCAGGTACCAGGCCCGGGGTAGGACAGGCTGGGAGTCCTCCCCTTAGCTGTGCCTGTCCTACCTGGAGCACCTCCTGGGAAGGGGGCTGGGAGCTCCCCTGCCTTGGGACAGGCTCAGCTTAGGACTTGCCTCACACGGAGGCATTTCAAAAAGCAAGCTAGTGTTTCACTTGCCCCTTCCTCCTGCTGGGCTCTGTAGCAGTGACAGAAATGGAGGAGCATTAGCCAGAGGCATGACGGTGCCAGGGGAAAGAGCTCCCTTGTTCGTCAGTGACTTTGGAGACAAGCCACAAGACAGAGGCGGGGCAGTACCACCAGCAGCCGCACGCTGGTCTTCCCCCAGGATGCGAGCCCCCGGGCCCGTGCCTTGGCTGGAAGTCTTTGATCCATTAAGGCAAATGGAAAGGTTTGGAGCTGTGGCAGCCCAGAACATTTTCCTGGGCTTGTTCCAGCCCCTTCCCCGGAAAAAAGCAGGTGGAAAATTGAGTCACTGGTCCAGCCTATCCACACCCCACCCTGCTCCTCAGCGGGATCTGAGAAATCAAGCAAGTACCCCCGAGCGGAGGCAGGACAGCCTAAATGCCATGGCCCCAGCTCCTTAGACCTTTTGTACAGGGGTCTCGCCTGGCGGGAGCTTCTTACTGCGCTTCTTCATGCGGCTGCGGGCGTAGACGCGGAGGAAGAGGGCCATGAAGACAACAGCTATGCCCAGCCCGCCCACGACAGTGACGGAGTGCCCGTAGATGAGGCAGGAGAGGAGGATGGCAAAGGCCTGGCGGAGCGTCATGATGATGGTGAAGACGGCTGCCCCGAACTGGTTGATGGTGTAGAAGATGAAGAGCTGGCCGCAGGCAGAGCACACCGAGAGCAGCACGGCATGGGCCGTGAACTCGGAGTGCCGGGCCATGAAGCGTACCGACTCCAGCAAGGCACCCTGCTCCAAGAGCGAGCCCACCGTGAAAAGGCAGGAGAAGACGTTGACGCCGAACATCATCTGCACGGGAGACATCTTGTAGGTGAAGAGGGCGTCCTGCCAGTTGGAGGTGAAGCTGTCGAAGATTATGTAGCCGGCCAGGAGGACTACGCCTGAGAAGGTGGTGACGGTGGACACGTGCCTGTTGGGAGCACTGGAGAGCAGGAACATGCTGACCCCCACGGAGATGAGGGCAGCAGTCAGGTACTCCCAGTACTCATAACTCTTGCGCGAGACCAGTTTGCCCATCATCATCACTGGGATCACTTTGGAGGCCTTGGCCAGCACTTGGGTGGGGAAGCTGATGTATTTGAGTGCCTCGTACTGGCACCAGCTGCTGAGGATGTTGGAGAGGGAGGCAAAGGAGTATTTGTACATAGGGGCCCCGTGACGCGGCTGCTTGGTCAGGGCGCAGTACAGACCAGCCACCGTGAAGGCCAGGATGCGGTTCATGAACACTAGGAACTGGGAGTCCTTGAACTTCTCACCAGGGTCCGTTTCGGTGGCACCGTATGTCCTCGTCATCACGCGCTCCTGGAGGACGCCCCAGGTGAGGTAGGAGGCCTGCGAAGCAGGAGGAGCAGAGTCAGGGCCCGCAACGGCAGCTGCAAGCAACCACGGGAAGAACAGACCCCAGGAGATCCTTGTTTGCCCCAGCGTTGCCTCATCCTCTGCATGACAATCCTTCTCTGAGACGCTGGGCGATGGGGTCACCCCCCTGCCACCCGCCTGAGGGAACCCGCTGTCCCGTGTGGTTACAACCAGGAACATCCCGTCCCAAACAAAACCTGCTCAGTTTACAGCCTCTTCAAGGGGAGAGAGGCCCGCAAAGCAAACATCCTGGCGTACAGCGGGGCAGTTATGCTTTAAGCTGCCTGTTAAACCAGATCGACAGGATCAGGGAACGTTACCGATGCACGGCTGCGGTTTTGGTGCCAGCTCCCTGCGGCACGTCCTGGCTGTTTTCCCAGTGGCCTCTGCATTAGTTTTCACTTCCAGCTCCCCAGGCCTGGTTCTTCGATCCAAATCAATTCTAGTTTCAAACCCAGCAGAAAAAATTGTCCTCTGCAGATGATCACTGTTCTGGCTGTCACCTCCACTACTTCTGGTGCAACAGTACCAAGCCCCTCACAGAAATAAGACAAGACTTCCTCTCACCATACATCCCCTCTCGAGGAACTGAGGCACAGAGGGACAGAAGGACTTGGTGACCCACAGCAGATCTGAATGGGCTGGGATAGCAGGCCACAGAGTGGGTGCCTTCTGCTGGCTGTGGGATGTGTGGGGTTTTTCTACCACAATGCCCACATTTCTATTTTTGGTCCGCACAGACCCAAAAAGCTGCCCTTCCTAACGACACTCAGGCTGTAGCTGAGACTTAGGGAAACTAACGTTAAAAACTGCTGTTTATCTGTAGCTGAATTCAGCGTTTCTCTCCAGTATTTGAATCCAATCCATCAAGGCAGGATGCATTAGCCCCAGTGGGTGTCCCAGAGCACAGACTGGGAGGTAAGAGTGTTCCAATGATCTGCTGCTCTGACGTGAGGGCCAGAACAAGAGCAGCCCTAACAATCTGCTGAATCACAGAATTTTCCCTATCCATGGCTGCAGGGGACTGCGAGCAGATGGACAGGAGGTCCCATCCCAGATGACACCAGCTAAACAGACCTCCACAGCCCTTAGAGGTGACACAGCAGCTCTGGTGGACTGGCCTGGTTGAGAGGCTGGGTCCCAGCCTCCAACCCTGCCCCGATCAAGAACAGCACTGCATCCTTGGTCTTCCAAGCAACTGACCTGCTGCCCACCTCCTCCTCCCAGCGCGGGATGGCCACACACACAGGGCCCCTACCTGCAGACCAGCAGCACAGAAGAGCAGCTTGAAAACCTGTCGGGCTGTAGAGGACTCCGTGGGCTCCCCTCGGGGTGGCAGGGAGCCATCCTCCTGGTGTACAGACTTCACCTCCGAGCCGAACACGCACGATTTGATGACAGGGAAGCAAATGCCTCGACCTGAACAAGGTAAGAGAACATGGAGACAGAGTTGACCACAGCTTGGGCACCACAAGCCGCACCAGCCTGAGGGGGTGAAGCCTCCCTCCTTACTAGTCTCCACATCTACTGGCGCGGGGACCTCAAAGAAATTTGTTTCAGGGTAGCACCTAGACAGCTTTGGGATGCAGCTCTGTGAGCAGCTTGAGCCTGTTCTGACAAAGCAGCCTGGGGAAACAGCCTGTGAGCGCTGAAGGGGGCTGGCCAAGGGGGCGTGGGGAGCTCATAGGGAGGCAGGATGTGGAAGGGAAGCTCCTGCCCTTACCTGTCTCCAGGTAATTCCTTTTCTTAAAGTACTGGATGAGGAGGAATCCCGGCACCACAATACTCGCGTAGCCAGCAGCATTAACAAAGAAACGGAAGAGCCAGAAGTCCCCCCACGAGTCCTGCAGGGCAGGGGAGATCTCTTCACCAGTAGCCATCGTAGGGAGGGAAGCCAGCACAAGGGGAAGGCAAAATCTGTGGAGAGAGGAAGAGGCAGGTGGTGGGCTACTGGTACACAGCCAGCTCCGGTCCACACGTCCGTGCCACCTGCCACCCGGCCTGCTCCCAAACAGCAGGCAGCAGCCAGATCCCACCCCAGCGACAGCAGTGATGACAGCAGCACATGGAGTAGGAAAAGCTCTCTGGAGTTGGAAGACCACATGCCAGACATTTGTGTTTGCTTCTGTTAAGGGTGTTTGCTCTGCTTAGGAACATGTGGACTTAGAAACTTGAATTTCCAGGATTGGAGAGAACGTTTGAACGCTGTTCTAACCATCTGGTTTTGACAATGCCCTTACTCCAGATGCAAGGAGCACCTCACTCCTCACCTTTTTAAGCTGAACTTTAGCACAGCTCCTGGGTGTAAAAAGAAAAGGTCACTGAATGGAAAAAGTGACTCCTACCTAGCAGCTCATGTTTCAAGCCTGTGGCCAGAGCGACCTTCCTCTGAGAGCAAACGGTTCAGAGCTTCCCCCTCTGGCTGCACCGGGTGAGTGAAGGGGAGCCACAGGGAGGGCTCAGGCTGCCAACCTCCCCCACCTCCCCAAGCAGCCCTGGAAGGGAGCGTGCCAAGGCATTCCCCACAGCTCAGAGGAAATTACCAGGGCTTGCCCGCTTGGCAAGACACAGCCAGAAAGCAAGGCTGGGAAGAAACTTTCCTACCACCCGGCTAACTGGGATTTTAGCAGGACTATCCAAAATGTATAGCTGATATTCTTCAACTCTAGCCCTAAGGTGGTGACCTAGCCAGCTTTAAAACAGTTTTAATGCTCCCTGAAGAAGTTCCTCCCTCCACTGTCCCCTCCCTCACAGAGGCAAACCTGTGATATTCAGGGGCCATGCAAAGAACAAGAGCACCAGGTGCACAACAAAATGAGCAAGCTGGCAAGGACTTTCCACACCCAAGGCTAGCTTCATCCTCCCCTCAAAGAGCAAGCTGTGGCTTCCTGCCTCAGGGTAGGAGGTTTCCTTAATCCATGCTCCATTGGCCCTGACAGTCTCTCTAGTAGAAAAAGCCTCCTGATTGCCTTGGGGGCCAGGTGAGGGTGCTGTGGGGCTGGCTACATAAACACACACCAGAAGAAGCTCTGGGCTCCTGTGACAGAAAGGGCCCGAGGTGTTAATTCCCTCCTCCCCCCACAAAAGGAATTTAGGCCCTGTGAGGTATATCTGGCCCCAGCATAATACAACTGTGAACTCTAGTAGCCCTTACATGAAACTCAGAGGCTTACAAACTTAGAGCATTAAAGGCAAGAAAATCCCCTGTCATTTCATGAGCAACGAGCCCTCCCCACCAACCTTTTGTTCCCTTGGGAAAGGCCTGAGGGGCTTTTCTTATCCTCAGTTGCTGCAGCCAGGACCCCGGAGTCCAACAACCTGACCTAAGCTGATGCTGTGTTTCACCCCGAAATCTCCCTTCTGTGACTTGAAGAACCCAGAAATTCCCAGCCCAGGGAGAAGTGCAAACAGCTGGGGGTTGGCGTCTGTGCCTGCTTCCCATTCGCCCCTGCTGTCCCTCACAGAAAAGGCAGTTTGACACCTCCACCCCTGTCACCTCTCCTGCGGCACAGGCGTCATCGCAGGCTGCCGGGGTGCTGCAGGATGCAAGAACAGGGCTCAGTGCAGGCACCCGGGGCTGAAGCTGCCCATAGTAAGTAACCCCAGTTGATCGCAGCAGCCCTCTGGCTGGGAAGAGGGCGCAGAAACGACGTTCGCTTTCGCAGAAGTCAGCTGGAAGCAGCAGGGTCGGTCGCTACACCCACGGGCCACGGCTCCCTTCAACCTGACAGGGACCGAACGCCAGCCGGCTCCGCTCAGCGTGAGCGTGCGTGGCGTTACCCCGCCGGCCTCCTCCGCGCTGCCACGGGAGGGGAATCAGCTCTGCTCCCCCGCAGCGATCGCGGAGAGGAGGCTGTGGAGGGACAATGGCTCTCTCTATGCCTGCGCTAGCAATTCCCAGGCCCAGAGAGCTGACTCAGTGCAGCAGGCCCTGCCCTCCCCGCCGAGGCTGGGAAGGAACAGGGACGCCAGTGTTACAGGTAGAGAGGGGCGAGGGGGGGGGGGGGGGGTGCACAGGGCAAGCGGGGCAGCGCGCTGAGGCATGAAAGGAGCCTTAGTCTGGGGCCTGCAGAACAGCCAGGGCGACCAGACAACAGACTCGGCTGCTGTTCCCCCTCAGCGCAGGAGCGGCGGCTCTCAAACGCGCCGCTTCAGAGCTGCGCTGGACCACAGCCCTCTTGCCCGCGATGCAAAATTTGGGTCCTGGGCCAGAGGCCTGGGAGAAAAAAAAAAAAAAAAAAAAAAAAAAAAAAAAAAGAAAAATCCCAGCCTGCAGCCCTGCTACTCTCGAGCACGCCTCTAGCCCTTCGAAGGGCTGGGGGCCAAGGCAAGCCTGGAGCGCACAGCCCCCCGCACCCCCCCTCCAACTGCTCGGGGTCCTCCGTCTCCCCCCGCCGCCGGCTCGGAGCTGCGGGGACAGCCCGCCGGTTCCCCCCCCCCCCCAAAAAAGCGCCTGCCGCCCCTCCGCCCAGGGGCTGCCCGGGCAGGCCCCGGGGGTCTCCGGGAGAGGCGGGCGGGGAGCCCGCTTTCCCCCCCCCCCCCCGAGAGCTTTTCTGCGGGTCCCGCTGGGCCCGGGGGGGGGACGCGGCTCCCGGGCGGCTGCGGGGGCCGAGCGTGGTCCCGGGGACGCCACGTCCACAGGGAGCGGGGCCGGCAGCGCGGCGGCGGCCCTGGCCCACCCTTGCCGAGGCGGCGAGGCCCGACCCGCCCACGGCGCCCCCCTCGGCCCTCGCACCACCCACCTGCGGCCCGGCCCGGCCCCGGCCCCGGCCCCGGCCCCGGCCCCGGCCCCGGCCCGGCCGGTTCCCCTCGGCTCCGCTCCCGGCGGCGGCGGCGGCGGCGGAACTCCCCGCTCCGCCGACTGTCAGCGACGCCCCACAGCGCCCCCTGCCGCTCCGGAGGACCCGCGCCGGGCCCACGCGTGGGTCGGCGGCCGCAGGCGCGGGGCGGGGCGGCGAAGCGGCCGGCGGCGGTTCCCCCCTGCGCGGGCGTGGAACGTACTGAGTCAGGGAAGGGAAGGCAGCGGGCCGAGGGGGCGCCGGTTCCAGGCCGAGCAAGCAGAATTGGTTTCCAGACCCCACGGCAGCCAAAACCCGTGCCGGCCACGCCTGACGCAGTGGAAAAAAAATAAATAAACCCGCTTGCGGTGCAGAAGCCCGCCAACCTCAGCCCTGACCTCCGGGAGCATCAGCAGCGGGAGCTGCGCGGCAGGACGAGCCCTTCCCCACCCACGGCCCCACGCGGCCCCGGCCCAATAGCCCCGCACCCCCCCCCGCAGCGGCCCCAGGCAAAGCTGCAGGGCCGGCTGCAGCCATCAGGTGGCCACCCAGTGACGTTTTACGAGACATATTTAAAAAAAGAAGCAAACAAAAAAAAAAAAAATTAAAAATAATTAAAAAAAAAAAAAATGCAGATCGCTTGCTTCCGCCCTTTCCCCTCCCCTTTCCCACCCAGCTGCAGCCCTGGCCGCACCACGCTGTTCTGCCCTGCAGCGCCCATCGCTCCCGCTCCGCCCCACTCGGGAGTGCCCCACATCCCCTCGGGAAGGGGGGCACCCGAGCGGGCCCACGGGACAGCTGGTCCTGGCAGGTGCTGGCCGAGGCCCACGAGCAGAACAGGCTTGTTTGCAGCAGGGTTGAAGCCCTGCCAGAAGGCGAGAGGCAAATATTCGAAAGAAACGGAGCGATCCAGCCCCGGGCTGCTTGAGAGACCAGGAAAGCTCCAGAGGCGCCTGGGGGGAGCCCGTGCTGCTTTCTTGGCAGAATTTCCTTGCTATCTGTCTTTCCAGGAAGGGAGGAGGAAGACAACGGCTCACTCCACAGCATCTCGGGTGATTGCGCCATGCAGGATTTGCCCCAAACAATAGCAGCTGCTCCCAGGCAGCAAGCGGGGAATTTCCCTGGCCGAGGTGGGGTCAGGCGCGCTCCGCATCTCCATTTCCACAGCACCTTTGGCTGCTGGTTCCCTCGTGTGTCACACGTGCTCCTCTGGCTTGGAGAGGGGGCAGGGAAGAGTGGTGAGCTGAACAACAGAAGGGATGCGGAGATAATCCATCCCATCTGCTCCGCTTTCAACCTGGGGGAATCTAAAGCCCGAGGAAGACCCGTGCCTTAAGTTTTTTAACACACTTGCAAGGCAGGAGATGGAGCAGGACCTTTCTATCCTCTTTGCGACAGAGGAAACCACAGCTCAGTAAAGGCAGCAAGATGTCTGGCATGACAGCAGAAGCGGGGATCCACAACTTGGTCTTCTGGCACCTCCTACGCTCTTTCTTCAGCCCCAAAGCCAGACGCTCGGCAGGACAGCGGGGGACTGGAGCGCCAGGCTGGGAGCCCCCAGCCTCAGCCCCGAGCACCAGAAAGCCTCTGCGAGTGGGGAAGCCCCTGCGCTCCCACTCACCTTCTGCTGCGCGAAGGGCCCGAGGGAGCGGGCGGGCTGGGGAAGCCCCTGCATCCCGCCTGTCCCCAGGCACCCGGGGTAACGCTCAGCCCTCCTGATGCTGCGGGGGAGCAGGGTGGGTTAGATCACATGAGACCTCAGGTACCCAAAGCGAGAACAAACGTTTATTAGAGTAAGCGTTAACTCTTCTCACCCCACACTCATTCTGATGGTGTCTGGGGGTGCCAGAGGATGCTCCGTCCACCGTGCAGTGTGAAAAGGAGTTCTCTCCTGCTCCTTCCCTGGGTAAGCTGGAGACCCCCACAAGTCAGACCCATGGCAGGGAGGGGAAATTCAGTCCCACTGCTGGTCACAAATACTGAAAGAAAAGCCTCCCCTATGTAGTGCTCATAGTGCCACCTTCTCCCCTCCGAGAAGGCGGCCCGAGGCCAGCAAAACGTTTCCAAAGAGGGGAGGGGGGGGATAAGTCTCCCACAGTGGCTCTGCTCCCACTGAACTGCAGGCCAGCAAGGTCCCAGCGGGCAGCAGCGCAGAGCCAGGAGGTGGCCCGATGGGCCGAAGGAGTCCGGACGCTCATTCAGAGCACACAACAGGCTTCCCTGAGATCTTCAGGTCATCAAAGGGCAGCAAGGCGAGGAGCTGCAAAGGCCAAGGGTATGGATGTGTAAGGAGCCAAGGTCATGTCTCCACCGAGCTGGGGTAGGGGCCCAGACCTGCCTCCCCCCCACCCCAGTCCTGCAGCCTCCCACCCACGCAGCGGGCGCAGCACCAAGAAACCCTGGCTGGGTTTCCCCTAGGGCTCGAGGGGACAGGCAGTCACCCCACGCACCCCCAGAACCAACGCCTGCACACTATAAGGGAGGACGGGCACAGCTAGAAACTCCTCCTAGGAGCTCCCGCCGAATCGTCCGATTCCTGCACCCCCCAACACGCTTGCAGAGCCACAGGCCTCCCCCCGCGCAGACTCACGTCGTCGTTGCCGTCAGCCAGGTCCTGGGCTGTCTCATTCTCCATGTTCCTCAGCAGGGTGTCAGCCCCGGAATGTGAGAGGATGGCGGCGATGGCAGCATCCTTGCGGCCCACGGCAAGGTGGAGCGGGGTGCACCCGTTGTACATCTGAGCGTCCACGTACGCTCCGTTGTGCAGCAGGAACTGGACAGCCCTGCGGTTGTGGCACTCCACGGCCAGGTGCAGTGGGGTCTTCCCGCTCGTGCCCTCCTGCAACCCACAGACCACAACGGTGTGGGTGCGGGGTCCCCTCAGATGGGCCCCGCAGCACCCGCCCGCACCCCCTTGACAGGGTGCGGAGAGGGCAGTTCCCACCCTGACCGCTGTCACGGCACCCAACAGCCCTTCAAGGACCTTTCCTCTCTGCTCCCTCAAAATTCAGTGCCTCCAAGCCCCGCAGCAGTGCCTGGCCCGAGGCCAGAGGGAGCATCCAAGGGAGCCACGCACCGTGCCCAGCCTTACCCGAACGTCACACCATGTCCAGCCTTACCTGAACATCGATGTTGGCGCCGCTCTCCAGCAGCAGAGACATCATCGTGATGTTCCCCTTCAAGGTGCTGATGTGCAGACAGGCCAAGCCTGGGATGGGGAGGCAGGAGAGTGAGCCGCAGTCAGCCTGGACCACTCCAAGGCACGCCAACCCCGGCCCTGCACCCGCTCTGCTGCCCTCCTGGATCCCTGACTGCAACACCGCGCGGTCTCTACCCCAACCCGGCCACCAGCTCGCCAACGGGCTTCCCCTGGGTCTCACCTTGCCAGTTCTGGAGCTGCAGGTCCTGGTGGTGCCCGTGGGGCTGGGCCGTGCCCTCCGTGGCGGCTGTGCCCTGCAGCAGCTGCTGGGCGCACTGCAGACGCTGCTGCTCGCAGGCTAGGTGCAGCGGGGTGTTGCCGTTGCGGTCCTGCAGCCCGGGGTTCACTCCCTTGTGGATCAGCGCCTGGATCACGCTGGGCTGCTCCAGGTACACGGCGAGGTGGAGCGGGGTCTAAAGAGGGGGTGGGGACAGAAATTAGCAAAGAGAGGGAGGCCCCACAAAACGCCGAGCGTGACGAGCCACGCCAGCCTGCAAGAGCCAGCCCGGTGGCACAGGCTTGCTGCCCCCCTGCACCTCAGCTCGGGGATCACCCGTGGGGGCAGATCTCACTCTCCTAGGTTATCTACCACTGCCATATTCAAGCCATGCCTGCTCCACCCTCCGGGGCTGTCTGGGACATCCTGGGGCCTCGTAAAGGACCCCATTATCCTTCAGTGCTGGGAGCTGTCACATCTCTCTCAAAAGGTATCTCTCACAACCCTTTTCTTCCCCTCCCCGAAAAGGGGCAGCTCACGTGGGACCTTCACCATGCTCTGGAGGAAGCGGGTGGGGGGGTCCTGGGGAAAGGACAGATGGATTAGACAGACAGAGCAGCCTGTGGCACCTGCCTTCCTCCCATCTTCTGCCTATCACATCCGCATACCTGGAAAAGATCATTTTGGATCTCCAGCACCTCCTTGGGCAGCTGAGCAATGCAGCAGAGTGCCACAGCTGGGACGCAGTGGATAATGGCCAGATGAACCAACCTACAGAGGAGATAAAGGGAATGGGGAAGGAAAAAACAAGAAAAAGGAGTCCTGAGTAACAAGCAGAGATCCTCCACTGCTTCACAGAGGAATAACGTCCAAGCATCTCCCAGTCTCCTTCCCTTCCCACCAGCTTGGAGCTCCTCCTGGCCTCTCCCTGGGGAAGCTCAGCAGCAGAGCAAGGCAGGAACATGGCCTGAGGCTCCCCAGGGCAGCCCTTCACCCTGATCCCCACAGGGAACAGACCGTCCTGTCCCTGCAAAGCACTACAGGGTCCTCCCTCAGACCTCACAGCACGCGTGGGGCTTGGACCTGGCCCTGCCCAGAGCCAGGCCTCCAACTAGGGCTGGCCCCAAGAGCCCGGGATGCATTTCACAGAGCCCAAAGGCCGGGTTTGGTGGCTGCGGAGGGAGGCCTGGGCTCTGGCAGCTGCCCCGGGGAATTCCAGTTCCCCGCTGCCTGCTGCGGATCGCGCTTCTGCTTTCCCCCCCTCCGTGAGGGCAGGCAGCCAAAGCCGGGCAGGAGCCCGGCGCCGGTCCAAGATCACCTGCATGGCAGAGTTCCCGTGCCAGCCGATCTGCCAGCCCACACCAAATTTCCTCTTCTCTCCCCCACATCCTTCCCTTCCGGCACTGCCGCGGCAGGGCTGGCACGCAGCCCGCCGGCACAGAGGGACACCCGAGCTGTGGCCATCGGAGCTTGGTGGCCAGCAGGGAGCCCACGTCCTCAGGACCGCGGCCCCCACGCCTGCGGGGTGGCTGGGCAGCCCAGAGTCCCCCAGCCCAAGGAGAGGTTTTATTTCCAGCCGGGTCTGACGCTGGCCCCTGTGCAGTCAGAACAGAAGTGAGAGTGTGACAGAGGCAGAGCCGAGAGGGAATTTCCAGTCACCTCTGCTGACCTGCTGTGCTCCTGGGAGCCCCTGCGTAGAGGGGCTGGCCCCCCGCCACAGGGCATCCCCCCCCCCCCCCCCGGCCATGGCAGGCAGCAGCTCCGGCTCTGCAGAGCATGGCAGGCACGATCTGAACCTCCTGCCACCTCCTCGCCGCTGCGCTGGGGCCCATGGGTGGCTTTTATCTCCAGCAGGGATCAGCTCCAAACCGAAGGCCAGGATCTAAGCGGGATCCTGCCACCCATGCTGCTTGGCAGAGGCAGGCAGGGCCGAGGGACGGAGGGCAAGAGCTGTGCCAGCCTCGGAAAGACACCCCGCTTGCTGGACAGCCCAGCTTTGGGATGCCACCTGCAACGTGGGGATGGACAGCATCCCTCCACGGGCGGGAAGTCAAGACCTGGCCCTAAAGCATTGCAGCAAAGCAGTGAAGCATCTGGGGCTGCCTTCTCACCAGCTACAGGGGGGGAACATATGTGTGCTGAGAATCCCAGAGGCCGGTCCCCCAAAATTTCCTTTATCCACCTCCTCCCAAGACCTGCCTGAGGGTTGAGCCAGCAACTGGAACCCCGGGCACCCTCAGCTGAGCCCCAGTTTTGGGAGCAAAACAAGGCTGGTTCCCCTTCGCCCTGCCGCCAGGGAAGAGGCTGTGCCCGACAGGAGAGGCTGCGTCCTTGGGGAAGCCCCAGGTCATGCCGCGGCAGGGAATTCCCCGCTGGAAGAAGAGGCCACCCACATTTGCCTCCTCACCGCCACGGGGTGCCCCCTCGCTGCCGGCACTCCCCCGGGCAGGGGAGGGGGTTTGCAAGCTGGGGCCGAGCAGCCCCACGGGCAGGGTCTGGCCACCCTCGGCTGACCATGGGGAAGAGGCACAGCCAAGGGCTCCAGGCCAGCAGCGAGGGGCACATCTGGGGGACCAGCTGCAAGAATACCCCTCCCCTCGGCGGGCTCCCGCTGGCCCCAGCCCAGGTACGATCCAGGCAGGGAGATTCCCTGCTGGGTTTTGCATCGGGCCCCGTGGCAGCACCTGGGCCGAGGCGTCCTTTGCCCGCTTGCAGGGACAGCCCCTGTTTCTCCAAACCTGCTCCCAGGCGCCATGTGCGGGAGGAGGCCACAGGATCTGCCTTTTTCAGGTACAGCAGAGATAAGACTGCTCAGACAGGGGACTTTCCAAGGCAATTTGGCTTGAACTTTAAACCTCTGCTGCTTTCACTTTCCAGAGCCACGCTGGGCTCCCGGGGGAAAGATCAGCACCCAGGGTCGTGCCCCGCTGCGGCCAGCCCCCGCACCCCCAGGAATCCCCCGGCCCCTCTGCCACTACCTATGCCACGCTGTGCCGTCACACGTGGACAAGTGGGGCAGTCACCCAGGGGAGGTGGAAACCCCAGGGAGCACTCCACCACCACCTCGCTCTTCCTGGCTTGGGTGGCTTTGCAGCTCAGTGAGGCAGCAGAGCCACTTGGGGCCGGGCTGACGCCGAGCAAATTTGAGCATCTATGGAGGTGATGGGGGCATCCATCCCCACACAGCCAGAGCTCAAGCTTTCACCTCGAAGCTGGGATGTGCCTGCTTCGAAGGACTGCTTTTCCCCCATCCCTCTTCCTTCTCCAGCCGGGTGCAGCCTCCTCCTGCGCTTTCATTTCTGCATTCATTCCCCCCTTTCCTCAGTGCCAGCCCTCAACTTCTTGAAATGGCTGCAAGAGCCAGGAACTGCTCGGGGGGAATCACAGCGAGGCCACCTGGCTGGGATGAGCCCACCAAGAGCATGTGTGCTCCGAGGCACTCTGTGCCATGGGCAGCGATGCCAACCTGGAATGAGGATCGTCTCCTGCTAGCCTGAGAGACATCCTGTGCCCGGGAGACCCAAGGTGCAGCCGCCGTGCAAATCTCCACTTTCTTCTGGCCGAGGCCACAAGCACGCCTCCTCCCTCTGCCGCGGCAGCTGCGCGGTCCAGCCGCTGGTGGGCTGCTGCATGCTGGCACACAGCGCTCGCAGCTGAGCCCCACAGCCAGGGCACAGCGATGGAGAGCTGCCCGCTCGCTGCCAGGCATCCCTACACACCCAGCCGTGGCCCCATGCCTTTGCCAGAACAGGCCCTCCATGCTCAGACTTCCCTCCGCTGCCTACACGCCTCTCCTCTGCCTTCCTCTGCTTGCCTGCTCCTTCCTCCCCTCCCCACACTTCACGCCTGCAGCCACAGGGGTGGGTGCCCAGCAGGGACTTTTGGAAAGGGCAACAGGGAGTTTTGGAAAGGGCAAGGGATGGAGGAGCTGTGGGCAGGGGAAATGCAGCCAACCGAGGAGTACAGACTGCTGGGCTCGTTCTCAGCTTTTCCGCTTGCTCACCAGCTCTATTCTGGCACAAGGGGACTTTGTTAGTGATCTGAATTGCAAAGGTCCCGCAGGCACAGGGCATCCCTGGCACAAGGTGATCTACCCATCATCAGAGAGAGAACAGTCCTGGAACAAAGGGGTCAGGTCCAGCCCTGGGGATGTCCCCGGGTCTAAGCAAGCCATGCTCAAGGTGGTGTTAGTCCTAGTTTAGGCACAGGAGAGCATCCATTTCCACAGTGATGCCCACCTCCCAGGCTTCTGAGTGACCTCAAGCATCTGGTAGGAAAAGTGTCCACACCCGAGAACTGGAGGCAGGAGAACATGGTAAGGGTGACAGCCAGCTCTGACACACAAGCAGAACTGATGAAGTCCCACCAGTTCTCCAGCTATCCTCTTCTCTCCCTCTAGAAAAGGGGCTGACCACACAGATCCCCTCATCTGCAGAGCAAGACACCTTGTCTCAAAGCAGCCTCTCCCTTCACCATCTCACCCCAGAGGCGCCTAGGACAAGGGATCCAGCATTCAGCACAACTTGCTTTGACAATTTTTTCTCTCTCTCTAGATAAGGTCCCTGGCTGCAGTGGGAACAGTTCACTCCCGGCTCCTTATTTTGGCTGAGTGGAGAAGTAGGACATCATGCAAACAATTCACACAAGAGAGACTTGTTCAGGGGAGGAAATGGCCCCAGCAGCAATAGAGAGGAGAGCGAGGGAGGAGGAAAACAGCAGGGGAATTCCACGCTTACCCTGCTCTCCCTCCCGTTCCAGCCCTGCAACCTGCACTGCTAACCGCTTCCTCAGCCATCAGCATGAACCTCTGCCAGCAGGCTCAGCAAGCACAGCTCCATCCTGCCCTGCAGCCCCCCTCCAGCCCAGCCTGGCTCCCTTCCTTCCCACATACCAATCTGGTGTTCCATAAAACTGTGCCAGCTGCCCTCTGGCAGCTCCAAAGGAGCAGATCCCAGCCTCATCCCTGCGTCCTCTGCTCCTGCCTTGGGGTCTCCTGTTCTGCAGGTTTCTTCTCCCCTTCCCTGGGCAGGGCACAGCTTGAATTTGAGCTGGGGAAGCACGGACTGGAAGGAGGTTGTGGCTAGTGAGATGCAAAGCCCTTTCAGCCACGTTGTGTTCAGCCCCCCCATCCCTGATCTGCAGCCTGGCCAGCAGTGGCTTCCCAGCCCGCGGCTCCTGTGGCCACAGGGAAGGGTGGGAAGCGATGGGCGAGAGGGGAGACAGCCTCTGCCTCCCCTGTGATGCTCTGCAGAGGGTCTGGTCTGGGTGCTGGAGGCTGACTAGCAGGGGAGGCGTTGCAAGAGGGCTGTGGGCACCTTGTTTTTCAGCGAGGTGGAGGATGAGGAGGAAGGGAGATGAAGGTGCCCCTGTTCACCCACATACAGCACCCCCTGGCCTCACATCCTCTAGACTCTGCACCCACACATTTGAGCATTTTGCTCCATTTCTGAGCAGATGGTGGGTCCGGGATTGCAGAAGCACTAAACAGCAGATGCATGCGGACTGCAAGGCGAGGGGTCTGTCCTGTGCTGGCATCGCTGCAGGGATGGGCCAAGCCAGGAGGCAGGTCAGCCCATGCCAGGAGGGCCCAGTCACAGACCAAAAAGCAAGATGAAGTATTGCAATAAATGCAGCAAGCATCCCAAAAGGTCCATTGGTCGTGGCAACTCCATTTCAAACAGAGCAAACTCCCATTCTCACTCATCAGGAGGCAAATATATTCTACAGCTCCTGTACACACAGAGATATCTGGAGGTCAGAACAGACTCTTACAAGAGGACAGTGCCTGGACTTTGCCAGAGCCTGGCAACACACCCTAGCAATCATTTACAGCCTCACGTGTGTCCTCACTGCCTCAGAATTTTCTTTGAATGAGACACCAGCTGTGAAGCTAGGATATCTCATGGGTTCCCTTCAGCCCTGCATCTATCTCAGCCAGAGGGACTTCCCATCTCCAGGATGTGGAGAGCATCCTAGGCAGCTCACTGAGAGGTGCCCAGTAACGATTCTCACAGTTCATACCCCACAACCTGCTCCTGCACAGTCACGTTTGACTCCTTTTAGACCCACTGTATTAAAAAAAACCCAAACCAACCAAAAATCAAAACTTTCTTTGCTAATTTAGCTGAGCTCAACCCTTTCCCAGCAGTGGCCAATCCTGCCTGCAAAGTGCAAGGATCTGAAGCCTTTCCCACCCTGACTGGTCTGTTACAGCCAGACATCAGGCTTCTGTATCCCAGGACATGGAAATTTCTAGCCATTCTTTCCCTTCCTCTGTGCTGAAGTTCCCTGTGCCTCTCTCCAGCTCCAAGGCAAACCTACGCAGGTGGAAAGTCTGAAGAAACTTCCTCCAGGCCAGGCTGAAGTCATCTGAACAGGGAAAAAAAAAAAAAAAAAAAGAAAAATCTCTTCTTGCCTGCACAATGTTAGAGGGCTACTAGGACTTACCCACCTCCCACCTTACACTAAGGTGAGTGACCCCTGTGGCAGTCAGCAGCTTCTGGGGAATCCTAAAGGAGCCTGTCAGAGCTGCCTGCCCTTGCTTGGAGGGGCACCAAGCTCTCTCCTGCTCACCAAACTCCTGAGCACGCACAGAGGAAGAGCTGAAAGACCATGCATGGGGAGCTGGACACAGTAGGTTCCCTGCTCCCTCTGTCCAGCCCCACATTAGGACTCATTTTCCGCTCTGCCCCACAACAGCGGTGTGATATGGAGCAACCCAGAACGGACTCAAACTTCCCTGTCAATCAGGCAAGGAGCTTTCCAAAGCCCCTCTGGAAAAAACAAGAGCATCCTTACTTCCCAGTAACTATGGCCATCCCATTGCTAGGCAGCCAGCAACAGCCCAGCCGAGCTGGGGGACTCCCAGCCCGACCAGCAACCAGGTGTGCTCTCTGCATCAGACTTCTTTAATCCTTCTCCTAAAACTGTGTGTCTCCAGTCCTCTGCTTCTTTTTCCTTCTTGCACAGCAGTTTCCCTTTGCTGTCACACACCCAGCATTCCCCCAGGCACACATGCTGGGAGCCTGGGGTACGGGGATTCTGCAACACCCCTGTTCAGCAGGACAAGGGCCGAGCAAGCAGCCACCCTGAACAGGGACAACCTCAATTCCCCCGCACGGGGCAAATATCTAGCACGGGGCCACCCGAGATGGGAGGGTTACGACCAGCACATGCCAGTGAACGCTCAGCAATGGCTCTTGGCCCTGTTAGATGAACCCTCATGCTCAATGCCTGCCCACGCAGACAAGGGCTCCGCAGGGAAGGCCCCTTCGCTACCATCACGTGGAGGAGAGATCAGAACATCAACTCCCGTGGGGCCCCAATTTTACTCGATTAACTGTCCCTGAGCCCTTGTTAAGGCATCTCAGCCCACAAGTCACTGGCACGTGATTTCTTATCAGCAGACAGGGCAGCACTTGTCTCTGGTGGAAGGAGGAAGTCAGGCTTCCTCCGCTCTCCTCCCTCCCCGAAACACGCACCCCACCAAAACCGCTCGGTCCCCTTTTCCATCTGAAGGAGGCTGAGATCTCTCTCCCGTGATTGAGCTGGGGTCCCCTGGCCTTTACCCCTGCAGAGGGGCCCCGCTGCTTTGCATGTGGACCCCCGTGCAGACGACAGCCACCCTGCCACGGAGCTGCAGCCCCCAGCCTTTCGCAGCCCTGCACGGCCGGGGGGCCCAGAGCAAGACCACACGCGCCCCTGCCCAGCTGCCCAAGGGCCCCATCACCATGGCAGCGGGTACCGATGACATAAATTGGTGTGCGGCCCAAGGACCAGCGTGGGCAGAAAGGGAAGCACGCTTTTAAGTTTAAAACGGACTATATAGTCCTAGAGAGAGGAAGCTCAGCCTAATTTCCCACACTGATGAATCAGCTCTGTCTCTGCCGAGTTTGGCAGAGGCTGCCATAAGCCCAAGCGAATGGGGAGGCTTTCCCTTGTGCTGGAACGTGACTGGTGGTCCCATCCCACCCCAAAGGAGCTGGTCCCACACTCACCCCTTTCCCAGGGCACTGGACTCGTGCATCTGCCTGGCAAGGCGAGGAAGGAAGGGGGTTTCCTCGGTGAATCCTAACAAAGATTGAGCTTGTCCAGAGACAGGGGCCTGCTCTGAGCTAGCCATGCCTGCAGCTGGAAAGCCCCTCTCTTCACTTCCACGCAGAGCAGTCCCATCGGGACTCAATTCAGCAGAAAAGGAGCTGGCTTACAAGGAAAACACGGATGTTTGGAGGAGACCACTTGATTCACAAGGAAAAGACAGATACTTGGAGGTGACTGCTTGAGCGCACAGGGCTCGCTCTCTGCCTGGCCACGGAATAAGCAGGATACATATCACTGCCCTAAGTGCACCCACCATCTTCTGCCTGTCATCCCGTTCCTCACCTTAGACCTCTCCTGCCATGCCAGCTCTGCCACTTTCTCTTGGGCACCGATGAGCTGGTGCCCGATTACAGCAGCTCCGGGTTCCCTGAGGCAGAGGGATCACCAGTGGCACTGGGGAGGTGTGGGGAGGGCTGACACTTGGGCAAATGATTCTTGGAAGACAGGCCCCACACATTTCACCAGCCATCACACCCACACCTCCCCTGTTGGCCAATTTCCTTCCTCTAAGCAGGACCCCTTCTAATTTTGAGTGCAGGAAGAGCCAGTTTTAGCCCCGTTGCTTCACCCTGCCTGGGTTAATGCTCCTCTCCCACAGATGTGGGGAGGAAGGTATCCAAGGAGGATCCTGCTGACACTCCAACTGCCCAAGCACATGCTCCTCGTCTCTGCCTCCATGTCCTATACTTCACCCACAAGCCCCAGGCTGACAAACACAGCCCCCCCTCACAGGCACGCCTCGAGGTGGCATGGGTGGGTGAGCCTTGGGGAGCTATGGACAGCCAAGATTTTTGTCAGATGGAGATCTTCCTTTGTGCAAGCCCAGTGCTCTTCTCCGCTTGGTACCAGTCAGGGCATCTGGGGAAACAGGAACTACTCGGTCAAAACCCCTGAACTTTTTGTATTTTCAGAATTACAATTACAGGAAAATGTTGTTGCCCAAGTCTTCTGAAATATAACGATAGTACGATTTTAATTCTCAGCCTGGAGCTGTTTTGTGACAGACATTCAAGCAAGGCACACAAGGAAATGTGCTCCTGATGGAGATGAAAAGAAGTATATTGGTTCGTCTGACTGGATGAAAGGGATGCGGCCTGTGTGCCATCTGATCCCTTTTCTCTGGGGACCTTCTGTCGCCAGATGAGCAATTGCTCCATAGACTTTAGCACTACTATCAGCCCCAACTTGTTTTTGCATACAAAACCCAGCGGTAGCAGTTCAATGAGTTGCTGGGTGCTCACAGTCCCCATTTGTATCGACCAAGCCGTGGATGTTCAGCATTTCTAAATATAAACGCTGCCTACCTCCGCCACAGGGTCAGGAGGAAAGACAGGAATAGCAGACGCAGAAATCCACAGCCTCACCACTCTAACCACAAGAATAGGTTTTTTTCCCAGCACTGGGAGCAGATCCCAGGAAAGCCGACTCCCGCGTGGACACAGCCAGCCCGGAGCTGTACAAGCTGCACCACCAGCAGACTTTTCACTCCCTCCCTCCCTCTTTACAGATTTCCTGTTCTGAACTGCACTGTGAGAGAAAACAGAAGAGCTACTGCAACGGTTTGAAGAGCTCTCCGAGGGCCTCTCCTGCCTACAGTAACCAAGGCACAATGGATTAATGTTTCCCTAGTTAATGAGACACTTGTGTTAGGTCTCTCCAAGCGAGTCTGACAAGCAAAGGGCTCAGCCACCTTACAAAACAGCCCCGAGCAGCAAAATCATCTCCAAGCAGCTGCATTTACCAGGCTCACTGAAGAGCAGCAAGCTGGGAGCCCTGGTCACACTGCAACAGACTAGCCCAGGGGGCTTTTCTGAGGCCATTAGTTCCATAGCTCTGCTTAAAAGACCCCTGGCGCTCTCTGTGGACACCTCAGCTCTAGCATTACAGCTGGGAAAGGTGGTGAAACTCCTCCATGGCAAGGAACCCCAGAGCCAGCCTGTTGATAAGACAGGACTAGAAAACACTATCCAGGCGCCCGACTTGGGAGCGTGGGAGCCTGGGTTTAGTCTAACCTTGCTTGCCATGAGACTTCCAGAGCAGATCCCACAGTGAGCATTAATGAACTATTTAGCAGATGCACAGGCTCCTTCCTAACTGGGAAGTAAACACTCGGGCTGGCTTCCAGCTCATCTTCAGCCTCAGAACCAGATGTACTCTGCCAGCCAAGGACAGAGCCCCCTTGCTGCTCCCACTACTAAAGACATTTGCTTGCTCGTGTCAGTGCCTCTTAGTTTCTCTTCCTCTTGCACCATTCCTCAGTATTAAACTCCAATCTGGCTTTGGGGCAAAGCTTTGCCCTTCTCAGCTGCAAGCACGCTTCACTCACGCTCTGTGTTTGCACTCATGATGAAAACCTTCCACTGAGGGAATGTACGGCAGGAAAGCGCTGCGATTAGCTGTAGGCAGTGACCAGAAGCCAAAACAAGTAACTCCAGTGCGATGCCTCTGCCCTTGAGAGGTTATTACGGATGTGGGAAGCCCCCCGGCGCCCCCCCTGAAGAGAAACACTCCATCAGAGAGGCTCAGGAGGGCAGCCCTGTAGCGGGGCGTGCGTCACAACTGTGCTGAAAGCTGCGGCTGTGAGGGCGGGCTGGCAAAGCAAGGCACTTTCCACCTGAGAACAAACAGTTCTTGGGTTGCACGGTTGAGCAGCATCTGTGGCCCTAACACAGCCATCTCAAGGTCTTGCGCTGCATAGCCAGTCTCATTTTGGGTCTTGCTTACGTGCCATCTCACGCAGCCAAGCCTTCCCCGCTGGGGAGGAAATGTATTCTCTGTGGAAGAGAGAGTGGGGGGGCCTTGATTTGCTCCCCCCCCCCCCCCCCACCTTCTAGCTGCTAGCTAGCAGCCCCACAGCAAGCAGAAGATGGCTTCCTCCGGTGAGTCCCTTCTGTGCCACGTTGCCTGGGGTGCCTCTACCCGCTCCCTCTGCTGCACCTGGCTCGGACACCCCACCGGTCACCCACCCAAACCCGCACCAGGGTGCCAAGCATCCGCACGCAGCGCAAGGCGGGATGCTCTCCGGGACGGGGGGCTCTGGGAGCCCTTCGGGAGCGCTGCAGATAAAGCCCAGCTTATCTCTAGGCACCGGCTCGGGGCCTAACCCCGGGGACTTGGGGCGAGGGGGGGGTGAGCGGGCAGGGGCCGGGGTCACTTACGTGTCTCCGTCCTCCGAAAGGTAGGTGAGAGCCTCCAGCTGCTGCCGGCTCAGCCCCTCGGGAGGCGGCGGCGGCTCCTCGGCGCGGCAGGCGGCCGGCAGCCCGGCCAGAGCCTCGGGAAGGGCTCCGGAGCCGTAGCTGGAGTCGAGCCTCTCCTCGGCGAGGGTCTCGGCGAGGGTCTCGGCGGCGGGGGGGGGTGGGACCTCGGCGGCGGGGGTCTCCCTCCCGCCCGGCAGCGAGCGCAGCGACTCGATGCCCGAGTCGCACTGCCCGTCCTCGCCCTCCCAGCCCGCCGCTTCCTTGCGGCACTCGCCGCCCGCCGCCCGCGACATCGCTCAGCGCCCGCCGCCCGCCCGCCCCGGCCCCGACCCCCGCCCCGACCCCCGCCCCGACCCCCGCCCCGGCGCCGGGGGGCTCATGGCCGGAAAGCCGGCGAGCGGCGGCCGGCGCGGTGGCTAAGGCGCCGCGGCTCCTCCTCCATCCTCCTCCTCCTCCTCCTCCTCCTCCTCCTGCCCGCACTGACTCAGCCGCGCCCGGCCCCGCCTGCCCGGGATTCCCCCCGCCGCCCCAACAACCTGCCTCCCCCCCAAAAAAAAAAAAACCAAAAACCGAGAGGGCTGCCACTTCCCGCCCGCTTTGTCCGGCGGCGGTGCGGGAGCACTTGGAGAGAGAATGCCCACCGCTGGGCAAAGCACGCGTGGGTGAGGGCTGGCAGCCTGAGGTGCGCGAGGGAGGCGGCCACACCGCGCTTCCCTAAACCGTGCTGGTGCGTCCCAGGCGTGCCTCCTCCCCTTCCCTGCTTGTTCGGGATCTTTAAATAGCACGCAGGTTTGCCAGGGGTGGGAGAGGGACCTCGTCAAACCAGGTGGTGTGTGGGTGAGGATGCTGCTGCGTGCGCAGTTGCCGACTGAAACTTCAGGCTCTGTGGGAAACGATATGGTGGATGTCACTTACTGGTAGCAGAGATAGGTGTGAACGAGACGTTTGGTTTTCCCGTGTGCATGGTTTCACCTGTTTCACTCACTGAGGCACCTTCTGGTCTGTCCTGCCCGCACAGGCAGAGGGAAAACAAGGCGCTCACCAGGGCTGGCCATACAAGTCACTTGGCCCAGCTGCTTCCCACCACCTTTCTGTGTTGCAGATGGAAAGCCCAAAGCCCAGACTGGCTGCTGGGGCTCACACAAGAGCAGCCAGGACACAGAGACCAAAGCTGAAAACAAAAGCTCAGACGAAGGCCCAGCTCTCCCCCAGTGAACGATTGACCAGGCTGCATTCCAGTGTTCTCCTTCCAACATCAAAGCTATGCAGTTGTGTTCCTCGTGAATATCATCTAGTTACCTTCCAGTGTTCCAAGCAGTGGGCTTTCCTCAGAAGCCAACCTAGGTAGCTCTGAACGCAGGTGGCACTTTAAAATCAGTTTCACTTGTTGGTTTTATTGCTTGATGTGCCTCCCCACCTCTGAAAGGTGCTCATCTTTCCAGTTTAGCCCAGCGGGAGGGGAAGGATCTCTTCGTGCCACACACCTGGAAGGCAGCTTACCTGGGAAGAGCGCGGTGGTGGGCACGGGAGCGAGTTCACACAAAACCACACACAAAGCCCCAGTGACTTCCTCCTCCCGTGCTGCAGCTGCAGCTTCGGGTTTGCGTCACTCCCCCAGCACTGGCCACCAGGCCTTTAACTGCAGCCTTGCTGCAGGCGAGCCACCCACAAAAAGTGCCTGCAACCAGGCAGGAAGAAAAGTCTTGGGGTGTGAGGGCAGTGGGAGGCAGGCAGGGGAAGTCCCTGTTGGCATCAATAACTTCCAGTCACAAGTTTTCCTCCCACGCTCGGGATCTGTTTCCGTATCTCCAGTTGTGTCCCTGGCTCTACCCGGCTGCGAGACTACAATTGCTAAGGGAAAGGAACTTCTCCCACACCTTATCAGCTCTGTCCAATGCAGGGCAGGGATCTGGGCCATATATTCATGTCACTCCCTCTCACACCCTGGCAGTGGCTGCATCCCAGCTCCATGTGCATCTGCAGCTGATGTTCCTGACCCCCACCCAGAACTTCTACTTTTTCAGCTTTCTGTACCCAACTGCTACTGGCTTACACATCAAATACTTTCCAAAATGCCTTTGCTGTTTTCTCTAATAACATACTAGATGTTACTAGAGATGCGGCTCCATCATGGAATGGTTCCTTATGCGCTTTTGCATGGCGAAAATCAGGTATTGGGAGAAATTCACTTTGGTCAAATCAGCACAAATCTGTGTGGTGATGCACAAAGATTTCACTTTTCCGTGAAGCAGTTGCTGCTTGGCTTTGCAGCAAGTGGCAGTCAACACTTGATTATCTTGCAATGTCCTGTTCCAGTTGGGGCACAGGTGTGGAGCCTCCTTCCAGAGCTGGCACAAGTTCAGGAGCGGTTCAGCCAAAGTACAGAGCTCGAGCTAATAAGCCTTGGACCAGCTCTGCAGGGAGACAACTCGAGATCCACCACTTGGGACTCTGTTGTCCAGTCCACTGCAAGCTGTCTGCACCTCTGGCTACTAAGCAGTTCCTGGAGGTGGCCTTCCTCTGCTGCTGCTGTGAGCTTAGTCAGAGCTAGCGATCTTGCAGCTTCTCTAAGGTGAGCCTTGAAATTCTTTGAGCTGGCTAGTGCTCTCCCAGGGCTGTGTTGCAGTGGTTTGCTGCAGCTGAGCTGCAGAGACCAGGCACTCCCCATTAAATCAGCTATGCCACCCAGGCATCCAGGTCCAGCCACTCTCTGCTCTGACCTTCCAACTACACCCACTAATACCCAGCTCAGGCACCAGCTCCTTGCCATCTCTCTTCTGGCTGAGTCTGCCTCTATAAACCCTTCAGACCATTTCACTGGAAAGTCTGAAAGATGAACTTGGCCACTCTGCCCCATTATTTGCTTTCTGTCACTCATTCAGCAAGGCTTGGGCTCCGTTTCGAGCTGTCTTCTTTTCTGCCTGGCCGTGTGGGTTTTGGACTTTCATTATTTTCAGAGGCTTTAAATACAGGGAGATATACACATACATATATGTATACATAAGCACATGCATATATATAATATCTATGTATAATGTATTGGCAGGTAGTGGTAGAGGGGGTAAAAACATTTAAATATAATATGAGGCCAATCTTGATGTTCTGATTTGCTTTTGAGAATTTTAAACCCGAAACTCTAATTCTGGTCTCTCTCTAGTCCCCCCTAATATGTGTCACTTAAAATGGTTAAAACTGCAGGGAAAAACAGAAGAGGAAGGGTCCTATTCCCACTAGAGGTCAGTGTCAACACATGCTGCTCGGAGGCACCCAGCGCTACTCGAAATAACCTCTCCAGCAAGAAACACGGCTCAGAAAGGCTCTCCTGCCACACTGCGCTGCCAGGAGCATCAGGGCAGAGCCTGGGCATGGGAAGGACTCCCCAGGTGACCTGTGACCCCCGGTACTGTCCCTGGTAATGTCCAGTCCTCAAGTACAGCCCTCTGATTTCCTAAGTGAAACCCAGGTCTCTGCGCTCGACTTCTTGAACCCAAGCTCTGCCCACCTCAGTTGCAGCCTGGCCTGGCACCAGCATCTTCTCCCCTGTTCCTTGAGCTGTTAACTGGGTGAGGTAAGTAAGATGCGGACGAGAGAGATGGAGAAGAGGAGTTTATGCCCAGTCTGTCTGGTCTGAGGAAAACTAATGGTACTTTAGACCCCAGCTGTGACCCTTTGCCATGTTTAAGCAACATAGATTACCTGAAATTGTTATAAGCAGTTTTTGTCATAGTAATTCATGTCAGGCAATGTGACTGGTACTACATTCCCCCCATGCAGGCCGTCCACTGCACAGCTTTGGTCCCACGCGAGCACTGGACTGCCCCTTTCCCTGGGGATGCAGCCCTTTTCCCCCCCGTTCCCAGCATCAGAAGTGCTGAGCCCATCAGAAAGGTGTTTAGATCTCTGTCTGAAGAAGCTCCCACTTCATTTTCCACACCAGAGGTGTCTCTGGGTGCCCTGAGCAGCAACCCAGACCTCTGCCTGGGGCTCCAGCTCCAGCTCAGGGAGCTCAGCCCAGAAGCCACATGTGCTGGGTTCTTGACTGGGAGCGCTGAGAGAGCAAGGAAAGCTGCAGGAAAGATGACAGGCTCTCTCCTCTGACTGCTGTTCTATATATCTGACAGCAAATCAGCTCCATGGTGTACCAAACTGGGTCACTTCACTTTCTGGCCTAACAGTGAAGCAGGAACATGTCTTTTAAAGATTCAATGCCGGGAAGTGAGGCCGAGCTTTCTAACAGCTTAGAGCAAAGCAGGTCCTCTGCAGGTACCCAATTTGGGGGGGGGGGGGGGGGGGGAGTCAGCCTAGAAAACGCTGGCTGCCCTCTTGTGGTAAATTTGTCTGAAATCACAGGGCCACTTCAAACATCTCCTAGGATGCTGCTCTGGGCACCTGCTCATGTTTGCGGTAAGGGATTATTTCCAGTCGTTTTCCTCCTTGCAGTCCGTGTCAGACACCTCTTGTCCTTCTGCTGTGCACTCGCGTAACGTTTCGGGAGCCACTGCGCCAATATGGTGACACAACCCGGAGCCCGTCAGATTTGTCTACGTGTGGTAGGTGGTCGGCAAGTTGCCCAGCTAACGCCCTCCCTGAGAAGGACACACGGTTCCCACTGTTGCCCAGAGTCCTGTGGTGGACGGGGTAGTTTCTATCTCCTTCTGTTGTTCACTGTGTGTATGTGTGTGTATGATCTGTAGGGAGCTGGACAAGGAGGATTAATTAATTCTTTGAATTGGGATCGCACCTAGCTCACCCTGCTCTCAGCCACGACATTCACTTCCACAAGCAGAATGTGAGCGATATAAAGATGCACTAAAAATCCTCGAGCTTACAAAGTGAACAAACAAAACCCCCAGATACTTTAACAAAATCTCATTCTAAATTAGATCCTCCTTGTACAACTCCTGTCAGCTCAGTGGCTGCAGTAGCAATGCTCTCTGCTTGCATCTGGGCAAACGCATGGCTGATAAGGCCTCGGTACATATTTATTTATGTGTGTGTGCACGTGCAGCTGTGTGTGCTCAGAGGTCTCCCAAAGGAGATGGCAGATGTGGTCATGAATGGGGAGGGGACAGCAGATGGTTTTGGAGAACTGATAATAAAACCATGCTTAAATAGATGGTGAAACTGTGCCCTAGGTAAGAAATCTGGTCACCTGGGGCTCCCTTTATAGCTAGTGGAGAGACAGAGTCACTTCCAAAGGGCGGCTCTGATAACCTCTGTCTGGCCACACTGCTTCAACAAAGAATGCTCCTCCCTCCCTGCAGAATAGCTGTGGAAGGCAGCTATCGCTCAGTCGCCGAGCTATCATTTATTCATGACTCTCTAAGTACAGTTTATCCTGCAGAGACTATCCAAAACAGAACAAAAACCTCAACTCACCCAACCACCCCCCAGCTCGCCTTGCCAGAGAATGCAGGATGGGTGCTGCCAACACTGCATCTCGGGCTTCAGAATCACCACACTGGACCTGCTGGCTGTTAGAAAGGAAGGATGGCTTAACTTCCCCTTTTGAGTTGCTTCTGCTTGAGTTGCTTCCCGCTTCACCCCAGCCCCTCACCGTAGCCCTGTAACCCCTTGCTAGCCCAGCCCTTGCCTCCTAACAGTGGCTGCTCTGCTGGTCCCTAGCAAGCCACGCGGTGCTGCCAGAGGTATTACTCATGCAAGCTTGGCTCTGCTCTCAGGAGAGTTAAATCTCACAGCTGCCAAACTCAATCAGAGCTTGTGTCTCTCCACGTTTGCATCAGAGTGATTTGGGAACTGGGCCTGGCGCAGCCACACTATTGTAAGCAAGTGAGGAGCCCAGGCAGGGGTTAGGAGAGAGGGGTGAGCCGATGGCTGGCTCAGGGTGGTGGGGAGGGGAGGTGGGGGGTGAGCGAGCTGTTTGAAATATTCAGGTGCTGAGCGGGAGCACAGAGCACGCAGAGGGCAGGTGGCCATCCCCTGGGATGGAGGGGCCCCAGCGGCGTGAATAAATGATGACCAAGGCCGTGTTGCCCAGGTAACGGGTGCTCCTGGCACACGGAAGGTGGGATCGCAGCCATTCCCCAAGGTGGGATCGCAGCCATTCCCCAAGGTGGGATCACAGCCATTCCCCAGGACACTGACCTCACCGCCAGCCCCAGCCCGTGCGATGGCCCCTAAGTAACACAGACACTCAGGCGGTGGGCTTCTAGCCCCTTCCCCAGAACAGCCTCGTCTCCCCTGCATGCTCTCCGTGGGGAGATTCGGGTGGAAAGGGGATGCTTCCCCAGACCAGGATGTCTCAGCTCCAACCACTCAGCATGAGGAAGACGAATTGCAACAGAAACCTATTTTCTGCTTTTAGGGAGGTGACTCCCAGGCCTGCAACTAGGGACAGGCTAAATTCTCTGAGCCATTAGTTTCCGTGGCTTATTCCTTTCTGGGGGTGATGGGCCAAAAAACTCAGGCAGAACAAAACATTTGCCAGGGGAGGATTTGGCTCGGTTTCCAGGCACTTGGGGTGGTTCCTGCTGCTCTGGAGTTATCTCAGACAAGATGTCCTGAGGACTGTCAAACAGCATCTGGGCAGCTCTGAATCCACTTTTCATTTCTAGGGGGGGATGTGAGGGAGGGCCCTGGGTATCCTGCTGGGCCGCTGCAGAGGGGAAAGCAATTTAACCCAAGCCAGAAACCTCTGCAGAGCCTCACAAATAATTGTGGTGATGAACAAATAGACTCTCATGGGGCTGGATGGAAAATAAGCAAACTGCACACAGGCGGCTTGTTGGAAAGGGAAGGATCAAGGCAGGGATCAAAGAGTTTCCAATGACAGCAATTCCCATCTGTGAAATACACCCCAGAGCAGGAGCTACAAACCCAGCTACTTCATGAGGTTTAAGACTGCACACTTGTGGACCGCTGGCATCTTGCCCATAGGGATGCGGACCCATGGCTAGTATGCTGAACAGAAACTAGTTCCCCAGTCACAAATCAGTGACCCCTACGGGTTTCCTTCCCACAATAAAAAAGGGCACACCTGGATCTCCTCCCAGCAGACATGAAGTCTGAGTGTAGCTGAGGAAAACGTAACTAATGGCAGAGATTTCCTTGAGGACAATGACTGCAGAGGTAAATGGCACCCACACAGTCAACAACATCGACCAGCAGTGGCAAAGGGATGTTGTTTAACTGGAGCAAGAGGCACGTTCCTTCATCCACACTCCCCTTGTTGCATCATTAAGGAGTAATTTAATTGGAGCGACACATTCTGGAAGGCTCAAGCAGCCAGCATAAAATATCCTTGAAATTTCTAAATGTAATGGGCATTAGTTTCTGAGCTCAGAAATTCTCGCATCCAACACAAGGGGATTCTCTGCTACACATCTTCTTAAGAGAGAAGAAGCAGCAGACTGCTAGGAATCATTGATTGCTTCAAAACAAAATACTAAAATTTGATCACACTTGGCCTATTGGACAAAATAAAGCTAAATTCAATGTTACATATATGATGCTACAGAAATTTGCTGCAAAATCCAGTTCTATCTTCAGGCTACGAATACCAGCCCAAGGATAGCTATCTGTGGTCAGCTGGTTTAAAATGCAGCCTCTGTCAAAATTTTTCCAGAAATGAAATGCAGATTTACTGCATGTGTATACAACTAAAACCATATTTAACCAGAAGCTAAAAGGTTATTTTCTGTAGCTACCAGAGGCAGAAGTGTGAGGCCTTTTCTGGCTTGACACACTATGGAAAATAAGTGGAGAATACTGCTAATATGACCTGGTGCTTTACATCTGCTTGGAACAGAAATGAATGTCTCTGCAGGGTGGCAGGTAGAGGCTAACTGGAGAACAAGCCTATTGATAGCCCAGTGAGGGCACCACCTCTACTTCAGTTGCTGTGTCTTCCTAAAAGCCTCCCTACTTCTTCCAACTGTTTTGTCACATCAGAAGTGCCCCCGTCCCAGAAATGTCCTGCTTGCTAACAGTAGAGCATCCCAAAACCTAGAGAAATAACTGGGGGTGGAGGGGGGGAGCGGGGTGGAGGGGAGGAATCTCACATATTAAAGCAAAAGATGTTTTTGCCTTTTGTCTGCAAGAGAATGGGGTGCTTGACTGTTTAGGGCAGTGCGTTATAATTAGGACTCCTGGGTTCTTCCACCCGTGATGGTGGCACAGAACACAGTCTCGAACGTCAGACTTCTTGCTTCGGTTTCCAAATGGCATATGCATCCTATAGCCTTATTTCTCCCATTCTCGGGGGAGGTCCTGTGCTCTTTGTAACACATTATCAGCCATGCCCTTGGGTTCCTATCCAAGGGTAGAGACCTGCCATGTTCCTGTTTCCGACAGAAAATGGCTGAGAGTTTGTACAACTTTGGTTCAGACAGAGCAGGTCACAGGACTTGTGACACCTTGGCTCGAAAATAGCATAGCTGGTGGTGTGTTTGGCAGTGTTGACTCCAAGACACAGAAAACATGCTGCCAGGACCAGATCAAAGATACAAAAAGCCCTACTTTTGGCTCACCAGTAGCTACCGAATCCACTGGTGGAGGATAAATTACAGGGCTCTGTGTGGGTGGCTCCATAGGGGTGGCAGCAGCCTGTTTCCCAAGGGTTAGTCCTAGTGGATAACAAGTCTGAAATGGGCACCCCAAAGCAATCTGCTCCCTGACTCTGTGGCTGTGCTGTGGAACTCTTTGCCACAGAATGCACGCAGCATCTACAAGTCCAAAGTTAACACAAATTCAAAAGTGAATGGACACATTCCCTGGAGAAAAAGCCACCATGGGCTATTAACTGCGGAGAGATAAACTCGGATCGCCTTCTCCCTCCTACATACCCTTCTGCTTTGCTCTTTTTGGGTGACATCACTGTCTTTGAGAGAAAACCCGAGCCGTTCTGGAGGGTGATCATCCCACAGGTGCCTTTAGGTCTAGCTGAGGTCACTTCCTCCAGGAGTCCCTAGCACTATAAAAAGCAGAAATGCGTATACATATGCAAATTATTTGCAACTGTCTCTTAGAGTGCAGGCGATAGCATACAGTGCTGCTACAGAAGCCCTGGCAGCTCTGGGCTTGTGCCTCTTTGCCTTGCTCTGCCATGGTACGCACACTCCGGTGAGCTCTCCTTGGGATCCACCACATGAGGATGGGTCTGAAACCCCGGAGAGCCAAAGTCTGCCTAGAGGATAGGGCAGGGGGTGCCTGAGCGCTAGGCAGCGAAATTCAGAGCAGGCTGCTCCTGCTTGCTGCTGTTCCCATGGAAACGGGGGGAAAGGGAGAGGAAACGCATCCTCAGCCTCTTTTGAAGATGAGCTCCTTCAGCAGCACCCCCGGCTACCACACCTGTTCCCATCAGAAGCAGTGGCTGGCAGTTCCCCCCCGAAGCCTCTCCCTGAGCGAGACCATCAGGCCTACGGACCGTTCCTTCCCTGTACCAGGCAACAGAGTGGGCAAGAGCAAGACATCCCAGTGCCAAGCCTGAGCCTCAAAGCTCAGAAAAAGTCAAATAATTTCCAGCAAATTCTCCAGCTTATGCTTTTCCCAGTTCAGATCTGGGGAAGTACCTGCAGAGACACTTGGTTTCCCAAGCCTGTCAAGGAAGCTGGGCTCTGCCTGCAATATCTGGACCTAGCTGAGGCTGGACCCTTCCTGAGCTCTGTGTGTGTGTCCCCCGAGGATGCTACTGTGAGTTTAGATTGAGGGTCTGAAGAGATTTTCCCACTCATCCCTGTAACCAAGCAGGTTAGGTCCATGGGTGAAATACACTGCAGTCAGCTCCGTGATAGCTAGCTGAGCATCCTTGGGCTCGGTGGAAATCACAGCAGCTTAGACTCTGCCCGACCTAAGGTTGTCCCCTGAGTGCCGGCATTAATGTTGATGGTCAACCCAACACCCCCCCCCCCCCCCCCCCCCCCCAAGACTAGCTGGGGATGCCCACGGGTCAGAAAAACTGCCGGAGCTCTCGCAAAGCCCTGCCGGTCCTCCGAGCTCTCTCGCATCACCCCGAGGGGAGGAAAACCCAGGGAACCCCCTCACCTCCCCATCAGCAGCCCGGCCTGGGCTGAAGCCCCTCCCGGCTGCCCCGGCCAGCCTGCCGTCCCCTCGGCGGGGCTGGGAGCGGGAGCCCTCCCCGGCAGCGCCCGGACGGCAGCTCCGGTTGCGGTGGGGGCTCCCGAGGGGCGGGTTCCTTGCCTCCCCCCCCCCCCTCCCTCCCTGCCGCCGGCGCTTCAAGGTCACCCGCCGCCCCGCTCTGGCAAGCGCGGATCCCGCCGCGCCCCCCATCCCACTTCATCCCCATCCCCATCCCCATCCCCTTCCCCATCCCCATCCCCATCCCCATCCCACTTCATCCCCATCCCACTTCATCCCCATCCCCATCCCCATCCCCTTCCCCATCCCCATCCCCATCCCCATCCCACTTCATCCCCATCCCACTTCATCCCCATCCCCATCCCCATCCCACTTCATCCCCATCCCCATCCCCATCCCACTTCATCCCCATCCCCATCCCACTTCATCCCCATCCCACTTCATCCCCATCCCCATCCCCATCCCCATCCCCATCCCACTTCATCCCCATCCCACTTCATCCCCATCCCCATCCCCATCCCCATCCCCATCCCACTTCAACCCCATCCCCATCCCCATCCCACTTCATCCCCATCCCCATCCCCTTCCCCATCCCCATCCCCATCCCCATCCCACTTCATCCCCATCCCACTTCATCCCCATCCCCATCCCCATCCCACTTCATCCCCATCCCCATCCCCATCCCACTTCATCCCCATCCCCATCCCACTTCATCCCCATCCCACTTCATCCCCATCCCCATCCCCATCCCCATCCCCATCCCACTTCATCCCCATCCCACTTCATCCCCATCCCCATCCCCATCCCCATCCCCATCCCACTTCAACCCCATCCCCATCCCCATCCCACTTCATCCCCATCCCCATCCCCATCCCCATCCCCATCCCCATCCCACTTCATCCCCATCCCCATCCCCATCCCACTTCATCCCCATCCCCATCCCCATCCCACTTCATCCCCATCCCCATCCTCATCCCACTTCATCCCCATCCCCATCCCCATCCCCATCCCCATCCCACTTCATCCCCATCCCCATCCCACTTCATCCCCATCCCCATCCCCATCCCCATCCCCATCCCCATCCCCATCCCCATCCCCATCCCGCCTCCGCCGGGGCCCTCCCACCGCGGCTCTGCCCGCCCTCCGCCGCGCCGGGCGCGGGAGCGGCAGCGGCGCTTCGCTGCGGCGGGGCCGGGCGGGCGGCGAGCGCTGCCGCTGCCGGGGGGGGGGGGGGGGGGGCCGTGCCGCGGCGGGGGGTGGGGGGGGTGGGGGGGGCCATGCGGCCGCGCCGCCCGCCCGCCGCGCCGCCCGCCCGCCGCCCGCCCGGCGACCGGCGAGGCAGCGCCCGGCGGCGGGCGGGATAATGCGGCTGCTCAGCCCGCAGGCACCGCCAGCGGGGCGCCCCCGCCGCCGCCATGTCCCCCCCGGCCTCGGCGGCCGCCGCCAGCGAAGGAGGCAGCAGCACGCCGGTGCCTCCGGAGGAGGAGGCGGAGGGGGCCCGAGAGGAGGTGAGGAGAGCGGCCGCCCCCGCCACCCCCCCCCCCCCCCCCCCCCAATACCCCCCCTCCCCTCCCCGACCACCCTCCCTCCCTCCCCTCCCGCTTGGCACGGCGCGATCACTGACCGCCCCGCCGGGGGCCGGGCCGGGCTTTACCCGCACAGGTACGGACCCCCCCGCCGGGAGCCCCTCACCCCTCCTCCGGCCCCGGGGCGGCGGTGCGGGCCGGGGGGGGGGGGTGAGGAAACCCGCCCGTCGGTGCCAGGCTGGCTGCCCCCCCGCCCCGGCCCCGCTTCTCCATCACTCGCCTGGGCACCTCGGGCTCGCCGCCGTGCCCCCGGGGCTGGAAGGGGCCGGCGGCGGGCGGAGGTGGGGCCGGGGCCGGCTGGGGTGTGAGAGGAAGGGGGGAAAAAAAAATCACAGCAGAGAAGCGCGGGGCGCTGCTTGGGTTTACTGCAATGGGAAGAGGTTGTTACACGCGGGAGAAATGGGTATGGGGACCCCCCGTTTCCCGCACTCTGGCTTATGGGGGGGTGCCAGGAGGTAGCACAGCTGCCTGCATCCCTGCAAGGGAAGACGCGGTGGGCGGCAGAAGAGGAGGAAGCCCGGGGTTGCCGCTGGAGGTTGTCTGGGGAGAGCAGAAGGTGCAGGCCAGGTACCAGCGCAGCCTTGCCTCCAGGTGTGCTGCAGTCCCCCCACCCCAGCTGATGACTCTTCTGGAGTCCAGGCAGCAGATGCCAAAAAGGGTCAGGAGCAGGGTGCTCTGTGCATAGGGAGCAGGACGGGGGGGCAGGAGCCCCTTTGTCTGCCCCCACAGATCCTGCCTGCAGTTTGGGCTTCCCAAGAGGAGATGAAAGCACTGACTAGCAAGACCCACCTTATGCCATGGGGCCAGTGGCCCGTGGGGGCCAGCTAGGCAGCATAGGAAGGGCAGCGTTCTGGTGTGATGGGTTGTCCTCGACAGTGAGACCACAGCTCAAAAGGCAGTTTGGGGGGGGGGGGGGAGGTGGTGGTGCTCAGAAGCTGGTGCATCACTCGTCCTCTGCTGTTGAGGAGCTGCAGTTAGCAAGTGCTGCATAATCCTGGTATTCTCTGCCTCCTTGGTTTAGGAAGAACGTGCATGCCCATGGATGGTTATTCTATATATATAGACTTATATTTAGATATAAATAATTGCAGGAGAGGAATGCTGAAGTTCAAGGACTGGGAAGCTGTACAAATATCGTATCGTATACTCTGCTCTGCGGCTGTTCCTCCCTTCCTGCTTCCATTCAACAATCCCTGGTGCCCTGAGCCCAGGCTCTCCAAAGAGATCTTGGCCAGGGTAGCTAAACCGTGAGGTGCCTTTTTAGCACGAGGACATGATTGTGCCATGCTAGGATGTGGCCTCTTGCCCCCAGTGCCCTGGCAGTGCTGATGCTACTTTCAAGAGAGCACAGTGGCTTTTGAGAGGTGCCAGAATGAGAGCTGGCTTGGATGAAAGAAGCGTAGCAGGGGCAGTGCCCGGGTGAGTTTCCCTCGCCTACAGTGTCCCCTGGCTCACAGGGATTATGAGAAGATTGTCTGGGCTTTGGTTGCTTTGCGGTGGCTGCCAGCTCGGGTGTCAGTATAATCTTACCCCATGGGAGCAGGCAGAAGAGCTACAGTCCATGACATGCACTGTTTAGGCTAAGGGCATACTTCCCGCGGCCAGAAGCTATCAGAAACTTGCGTGAAGCAGCTGGTGGAGGAGAGGGAAGCTGCAGCCTCCCCTGACAGTGCCATGCTTGCTGGTGTCTCATCTGATGCAATGAGGAGAGTTCTTAGTGGGGAGCTTGGATTCATGGACTGGCCTAGGGTAATCCTCTTGTCCCCAGAAATATCGGGAGCAGAGGGTGTTCCTGCTCCCCTAGAGTGCCTGTGTAAGGCTGTACTGGCTGTGTGATGTCCTCATTTTCATCAGGACCAACTGCTGGTGCCAGCATCCCCGGAATGTGGCTGAATCCCACCTGTAACGGTCTGTTGGCCAAGGCTGACAGGGAGCCAGAAGAGATGTCTGGGGACTGGAAAATGGGAGACGTGCTCCGTCCTGTTTGAAGGTGCCTCATCTCAACATATTTCAGGTCATGGTATCTAGGAGCCAGGCAGAGCTTCAGGCGCTGCTCAGCTTGTCCCAGCAAGGCAAGTAGCAAGAGCTACTGGCCAGAGCTGGCTGAGCCCTTGCTCCCTGTTGGCATCACATGTATACACCGACACTTAATGATGGTGAGCTGAATCTCAGTCAGCAATGCACTTCCACCTTGGAGGGTAGGACGTGCCAAGGGACAAGCTATTCAGCCTGGGAACATGTGAAAAAATGTCCTTGCCCTGCTGCTCGGGTGGGATCCGATGGAAGGAACCAGTCCTCCTCCAAGTTGCTGTGTAAAATGGAGACCTTGCTACCGTTGCAGGAGCTGACTGCTGGCAGGCTTCCCTGGCTCCTAGATGCTCAGCCTTCCCCTTTCCTCTGCAGTTGGCAACGCTGCCAGCCTGGGGCTGAGCCAGCTCTTTCTTCTAGGCAGGTAGTTCCTGAATCTGAGCTGTAGGCATGTGGGGTGCAATGGGGGTGTTTTCTGGGACCATCCTGTCCAGGAGTCGCCAATGTCTGTCCAGGGTTTTGGAAGATGGTGGCAGTCCCTAGAAATGACTGGATCTTCCCCACCTGTCTTGTTCTGGGGATTTGAGGTCAAAGGGAACAGGGCTTATTCATTTGTTACATGATGTAAGCAAATTGGCAGGGCAGAGCCATGGAAACTGATGCTCAGGAGTCCCACTGGAGTCCCCAGCAAGCTGCTGCCACAGCCTGGCACTCAGGAGCGACCTGGGCCTTCAGGATGCTCCTCTGGGGTGTTTTGGAATTGTTTTTTCAGCTCCATGGAGGGCTGTCTCTAGGACACCTAACCCTGTGAGCCCCGGGGTGTCTTGTAAAGTAAGGGCTTGGCATTCTGGGGGTGAATCGGAGATTTCAGGCAGGTTTCTGCAGAGAGAGGCAGGTAAGAGGTGTGGGAGGTGAGGACACGGGAACACTTGTGAAACAGGGGGATGGTAGATGGGGCTAAGGACAGGCTGTTTCAGAGAGGAGCTTGAAGAGCTTGAAGGATTTCTGGAGTTGTTTAGTGTTCAAAGTTGCAGGGTCAAGGTTGTAGGGGTGATGAAGGTATTTTGGTCCGTGTGCTTGGTCACTGGGATGCTGGGCAGGTTTGTGTCCTTGAGGCTTTTTTGAGAAGAGGATTCCCCAAATCTCAAAGGAGTTTAGTGCAAGCAGTGATGGGGGCCCCCTCTTCTACTGCCTCTGCCATGTGCATTGTAGGCATCTCCATTAGCTTCACAGCTGCTTGTCAGTCATCCCCTCCATCCCACGCATCCCAGAGCAGCAGCTGCAGGTGTGGGACTCAGTCTCCTTTCACCTTAAGGTCAATATCAGAGGCAAATGCTATGTATGAGGGAGGGAAGGCTGTGGCAGCAGTTTACCCCTTGCCTTTCTCAGTGTGTCTTACAGTTAGCGCTCAGGCACGTGGTAAGGTGGTCCCGTGTGTTCTACGTGGTGAACTGAAGCACAGAGAAGAGTTTGACTGGGATCTCTCAAAGGGGTTGGCCAAGCCACGACTGGACCAGTTCTGCCCTCTAGCACTGCAGAGATGTTTCGGTGCACCTGCAATAGCAGATTTGCTTACCGCTCTCCGGTGCTCAAGCCTGAGCAATGGGGGAAGCTCCCGGTGATGGAGGGAAGCCCTGTTTGCAGTGAAGTAGGGCAAGCCCTTAGCCTCGTTCCATCAGACTGCAGCGGGCAGATGACGATGGCATTTATATCAGAGCCTGCTCTCCTCCCAGTGACACTGTTCTGGGACAGAAAGGATTTCCCTTTCCCCAGCTTTTCCATCTGCATGTTTGCTGTGCTGGACTTCTCCAAGGCTGGTAAAGAACTCGAGGAGGCAACCTTATTCAGCTGCTTCTGCGGGGGGGGAAGCCACAGAACCGGTTGTTTGCTCCTGTGAGCCCTTCACAGCCCGAGAGAGGAGCAGGGATGCTGCAGTTCCTACTGGGATGAGGCTCCGCAGCTGGCTCCTCCTCCGTCTCTGCTGTGGTTGTATCCCCTGTAGTTGGCACTTGATCAGCGTTCAGAAACCCCACCAGCGCGGCTGATGTGTCTGTGTTTTACCTCAAAAGCCTAGGACAAAACTCGGTTGTAAACAGTTTACAGCGAGGGTTAGCGTGACCCTGTAAAAGCGCTGCAGTATCTAAATACTGCGTAGTCCTAGGAGGAGACTAATGCGTGGACTAGAGCCCTGCTAACACAGTTCCTGGAACCAAGCCTGGGCTGCATCGTGCTCCCTGCCGCCCTGCCCCGGGTGGGTAACCGCAGCGGGGCTTGCCTGCATCTCTGCAGGGCGACAGCCAGCATCGCCCTTCTCCTGAGCAGGACGACGCAGGCGGTGCAGAATGTGAGGGGTCGGGCAGCGACTGGGAGGTGGAATTTGATTTTCTGAGATGGACCTGGCCGAAGACCTCTCTTCCCGGTGCCCTTTCCCCAACTTGACAAATGAGCAAGCCGAATACTTTGCTTTATTCTTTGTGCTCCGTTTGCAGATTTTGCCCTCCCCGCCCCCCCCCCCCCCCAAAATGAGGCACTGTTTCTGTGCAAGCCCTCTCACCCCGCAGACACCCCAGAATTAGCGTGTGCCTTGCATCTCCCCAAGGCCCCTGTTCATACCCTCCCCATGGTCTTCCTTTGGCTGAGCAGCCCCCTTAGAGCCTCACAGCCCAGGCTGCTGCTGCCAGGGAAGATTTCCAATGCAGAAGGCAGCTGTGGGAGAGGAAACTTTCAGCTGCCTGGGTAGTGGCACAGCAGTCCAGCGCGGGAGAGCCATGCTGCAGCCCAGCAAAGCCAGAGGGATCTGGGCAGCTCTTGTAAACGCAGCGTGGACCTGAGCAGGGAGGGCACAGCTCAGGCAGCTCTGCGTGCTGGGTGTCCCCTCTTCCTCTCCTCTCTCCCTTTTCTCTTTCTCAGGGTTCCCTTCTTGCCCTGTGGCCATGAGGCTGCTGCAGCGGTGGGTCACACTGGGAAGGCTGGGACGCACACGCGTCCGTGCCGGAGGTGCTGAGCAGTGCCTCTCCTTGTTACCTGCGGACCAGCGCTGCCCAGCCTGCTTTCCCTGGGCTCCGTGTCTGTCACCAGCCCTCACTCTCAGCTGGTGGCCCCAAAGAACTCAGCCCTATGGATGCTCGGGAGCTGCCGCGGGACATGCCACCACTCCCCTTGCCACCGGCGGTCCCTCTGGATGTGCCGCCTGCTCCGCTCATCCCAAGCTGGCTGCTGGGGTGGGAGGGAAGGAAAGCTCCCTGCTTCTGGAGATTTGGGCCAGATCCAGCCCTGCTAATCGCTGTGGCAGAAGTCCCACTGGCATGGGGTGGACCAGGCTTTGGCAAGGTGTGGGGAGGAAAGATTAGCACCTGGGACTCTAGGGGACCAAGCCAGGCCTAAGGGGCTCTTCAGAGAGAGCAAGGGGGGATTTCTTAGAGGAAAGGAGGGATCCAGATCTGTCTCCAGACCTGCCAGTGGTGTTGTGACCTCTGGTTCTTGCTTTAATTTTCCTTTTCATGCAAGAGTGAAAGTGACTTTCCTGCTTCCTAGTAGCGTAAGCCCATTAAGCTCTTTGGGATCCCTGGATGAAAGACCTCTCCAGCTCAGTGCGCTCAGGAATGGAGGAGGGCTGGGTCCAGGCTTGAACTTCACTGCCCTGAGTGGTGTCATTACAGCTGGTGTTAGCCCCTACAATGACAGAGCTCAGGAGCTGTGCTGCGTGCAGCTGGGGAGGGAGAGCAAAGCTGAAAGCATCTTACTGAGTTTTGTGGCATCAGCACAAGGCTGGGTTTCTTGCTGCCCTCTCTCAGGTTGCACCTTTGGAGATTGCTGGGCTGGATGGCATTTGGGCTGGATTAAGTCTTTTGTATGAGAAAGCAAATAGCCTCTTTGCACGTTTTGCCTTTGGTTGTGATAATGTCAGGTGTCACTGACCAAGCTGGATCAATACGTGAGACTTCAGCATATTGCAGAGAGTGACAGCCGTTTGCTTAAGTGTTTTTTTTTTCTGTGTCTTTGTGAAACCCTGCATGGCTCCTGTGGTGAAGGCACTAGTGCCATCACTTTTAAAAGTCCTATTACTGAAGTCCTGCCCTTTCTTCACCATGAAAGATCTGCGAGCAGTTTTTCCAGAAGTATGGGCTGTCACACCCAAAAGACCCCCAGTGTGGGCAGGGACATTTTCTGGCAGCTGTGACTGGCCACTTGCCCTCCCTGCTGTGGCAAATCAGTAGGATGCTCTTCACTGCCCACCTGAACACCTTTTAGGATGTTACTCTATATTCGCTTTCTCTTTCACCAGAGGCGGCTGCATTTCAGCCGTGGAAAAGTACTTTCCCATTTGTGTGGTTTGTAAAGCACTTGAGAAGCACTTCGGAACCTCTTGGGCTGCCAAGTGTTGGGGTGGGAATCGCCATTACCAAATAGAGGTCTTTCCAGCTTCAGAAGGTCCATTTCTCCACCTTACAGGCACCCCAGGCCGCTTGTGCTGCCCTGGTAGGAGAAACTTAGCAAAATGAAGCCCCCATAATCCAAGGGAAAATGGTTAGTGACCTGCTACACACACAGGTCTATGGGGCTGAGTGGGATCCACCCAAAGGCATTGAGGGAGCTACCAGCCACTTTCAATCATTTATCAGCAGTCCCAGCTAACTGGGGAGGTCCCAGTTGACTGGAAGTTAGTAAATGTGCCACCCATCTACAAGAAGGGCTGGAAGGAGGATCTGGGGACCTACAGAACTGTCAGTCTGACCTCGGTGCAGGTGAAGGTTATGCAGTAGATCATCCTGAGTGCCATCACATAGCACATACAGGACAACCAGGTGATCAGGCCCAGTCAACATGGGTTTATGAATGGCAGGTCCTGCTTGACTAACCTGATCTCCTTCTGTGACAAGGTGACACGCTTAGTGGGTGAAGGAAAGGCTGTGCATATTGTCTACCTAGACTTTTCTAAAGCCTTTTCCCACAGCATTCTCCTGGAGCTCATGGCTTGGACAAGTACACTCTTTGCTGGGTAAAAACCTGGCTGGATGGCCAGGCCCAAATTGTTGTGCTGAATGGAGATAAATCCAGTTGGCGACTGGACACAAGTGGTGTTCCCCAGGGCTCAGTACCGGGGTCAGTTCTGTTTTGTATCTTTATCAATGATCTGGACAAGGGGATTGAGTGCGCCCTCAGTAAGTTTGCAGAAGACACCACGTTGGGTGGGAGTGTTGATCTGTTTGAGGGAAGGAAGGCTCTACAGAGGGATCTGGGCAGGCTGGATTGATGGTCCGAGGCAAATTGTATGAGGTTCAATAAGGCCGAGCGCCGGGTCCTGAACTTGGGTCACAACAGCCCCACGCAACGCTACAGGCCTGGGGAAGAGTGGCTGGAAAGCTGCCTGGTGGAAAAGGATCTGGGGGTGTTGGTCAACAGCCGGCTGAATATGAGCCAGCAGTGTGCCCGGGTGGCCAAGACGGCCAATAGCATCCTGGCTTGTATCAGCAATAGTGTGGCCAGGGGGACTAGGGAAGTGATTGTCCCCCTGTACTTGGTACTGGTGAGGCCACACTTGGAGTACAGTGTTCAGTTTGGGTCCCTTGCTACAAGAAAGACATGGAGGTGCTGGAGCATGTCCAGAGAGCAATGAGGCTGGTGAAGGGTCTGGAGCACAAGTCCTGTGAGGAGAGGCTGAGGTTGTTTAGCCTGGAGAAAAGGAGGCTCAGGGGAGACCTTCTTCATCTCTACAACCACCCAAAAGGAGGTTGCAGTGAGGTGGGTGTCGATCTCTTCTTCCAAGTAACAAGTGATAAGACAAGAGGAAATGGCCTCAAGTTGTGCCCCAGGAGGTTTAGATTAGATATTAGGAAAAATTTCTTCACGGAAAGGGTTGTCAAGCATTGGAAGAGGTTGCCCAGGGAAGTGGTTGAGTCACCATCCCTGTAGGTATTTAAAAGACATGTGGATGTGGTGCTTAGGGACGTGGTCTAGTGGTGGACTTGGCAGTGCTAGGTTAGCAGTTAGACAAGATGATCTTAAAGGTCTTTTCCAACCTAAACGATTCTATGATTCTAAACTTGAATGTTGCTGCCGGTCGTGACTGAGAAGGGGGAAGAGACTTGTGTGTGAGCGGTGAGAGGCGCGGTGGGATGAGCCATGGTGAGGTGTTCTGGTGGGATGCTGTGCTGGTGAGATGGGTGCAGGAGCCAAGATCCCCCAGCCTCCATCTTGCTGTGCTGCAATACCCCTGTCTGGGACGTGGGAGTGGTGGGGGTTACTCCCCACTGAAGAAGGGGGATGCTTGGGGTGCGGGCCAAAAGACTTGCCGTCTGTCGCTCTCCTCCGTGTCCAGCTGGGCTCTGGACATCTCCCATAGAGGGGCAGAGCACCGTGAAGGGAAGGGGGGATCACAGCTGCCCATACTGTGTGAACTGTCATCCTGGGGGAGATCCCGGGCTCCGGGCTGCCCGATGAGGCTAGGAGCTCCGTGGCATCTGCTGTTTTGTCCCTGTTCACGGAGCTACAGGTGCCACCACGGCACCCCGCTGCCTGCTCCCCCCTTCCTTCTGCCGCTGCCGCCTACTGATTCCTCTCTTGTTTTCTCTCCCCTTCTCCCCGGTCCCCCGGAGCAGCAGCGGCCAGTGAAGCAGTCTCTCAGCAAGTCCCTGTGCCGAGAGTCCCACTGGAAATGCCTGCTGCTGTCCCTCCTCATGTACGGCTGCATGGGAGCCATGACCTGGTGCCATGTCACCAAGGTGACCCGGCTGACCTTTGACAGTGCTTACAAGGGCAAGTCCATGATGTACCACGACAGCCCCTGTTCCAATGGCTATGTCTACATCCCCTTGGCCTTCCTGGTGATGCTCTACGTGGTGTACCTGGTGGAATGCTGGCACTGCTACACCCGCAACGAGCTGCAGTACAAAGTGGACGTGGAGAGCGTGCACGAGCGTGTGCAGCGGATGCAGCAGGCGACTCCCTGCATCTGGTGGAAGGCCATCAGCTACCACTACGTCCGCAGGACCCGACAGGTTACCCGCTACCGCAACGGGGACGCCTACACCACCACCCAAGTGTATCATGAGCGGGTCAACACCCATGTGGCAGAGGCCGAGTTTGATTATTCCAACTGTGGAGTTAAGGACATTTCCAAGGACCTCATTGACTTGGAGAGCTACCCGGCCACGCGGCTCCGCTTCACCAAGTGTTTCAGTTTTGCCAACGTGGAGTCGGAGAACTCCTACCTGACCCAGCGGGCCCGCTTCTTCACGGAGAACGAGGGCCTAGATGACTACATGGAGGCCAGGGAGGGGATGCACCTCAAAAACGTGGACTTCAAGGAATACATGGTGGCCTTTTCCGACCCAGACAACCTGCCTTGGTACGTATCCCACTACGTCTTCTGGGTGGCGGCTCTGCTGACCCTATCCTGGCCCCTGCGGGTGCTAAATGAGTACCGCACCTCCTACGTCCATTACCACGTGGAGAAACTCTTTGGGTTTGACTACGTGGCGGTGACACCGGCCGAGGAGCGCTCCTTCTGCCGGCGGATGCCCCGCGTCAACACGGTGGACAGCACCGAGCTGGAGTGGCACATCCGATCCAACCAGCAACTGGTGCCCAGCTACTCGGAAGCCGTCCTGATGGACTTGGTGGGGCTCTCCGGCTGCACCAGCTACTCCGCTTGCCGGTACGGGGGTTACCGGCAGAACTGTGAGCGGTGCCACAGGACTATAAGCAGCTCCTCCATCTTCTCCCGCAGCGCCCTGAGCATCTGCAACGGCAGCCCCAGGATCCCCTTCAGCAGCAGCCGCTTCTCCCTGGGCCGCCTGTACGGCTCGAGACGCAGCTGCCTCTGGCAGAGCCGGAGCGGCAGCCTGAACGAGCAGAGCTGCCCCACCGAGCAGACCCGCCTCTCCAGCCAGGTGACCGTGGAGGAGGAAGACCCCCCTCCTTACCAGGATGCCCTCTACTTCCCCATCCTCATCGTGCACCGCAACGAAGGCTGCCTGAACCACGACCACCGTCACCTCCACCGCAACGGGTCCTGCGTGGAGACCTCACTGTGAAAGCAGAGGGCGGTGAGATCTCGTTGTCCGTTGCCTGGCCCCAGCCAGCACGGGATTTGGGGAGCGGAGCTCAAGGGAGGGAGATGGCCTAGGAGGACATCAGGATGGAGCGGACACGGCGCCTCGCTCCGGCAGCCAGCGAAAGCTCCCCCCGCCATGGCTCTGACCTCCCAGTGGGGTGAGTGCTGATGCTCCCCCCTGGCATGGCACAGAACTCTAGACCGACCACCACATGCAAAAAAAAAAAAAAACAAAACAAAAACAAAGAAACAACAAAAAAAAAACAAACCAAAAACCAAAACCCAACCAAACCAACTCCAAAACCGTAATTCATGGCATCGAGATCTGAAGTGGGGAATAAAAAGACAGGCCTGATGCGGGAAGGGGGCTGCTTTGGCTCCCGGCCCTGGCTCCAGGCTGGCTCGTGCTCCGAGGAACCGGCAGGCACCAGAAAGCGCCCCGCCGCACCTCTGCCCATCCTGCTGCCCACGCGGGAGTGAGACCCCTCGCAGGGTGGAGGGGAACAGCCCCCTTAGGAGCAGCATGGAACTGCCTGTGCCTAAAGGTCTGGGGCATCCAGGCACCTGGAGCTGAGCGGCAGGTTAGAGCAAAGGCTGAAAGCCGCGAATCCAGCTCTTCCCCTACCCCCCCCCCCCCGACCGTTCCCCACCCTCCCCGCTTTTTTTTTTAGACCATGCTCCGACTGTTACTCTGTTCTCACTGCTGGGGATGGCACCACCTCCAGAGGATCCCGGGCTCGGCTCCTTAGGAAGCTTCGGCACGCCAGCTCTGAGAGTCAGCATCCCCTAGGTAAAGGGCTTTCTGTCTGGGATTACAGCAGGCAGGCAGCACTGGGGAAGGGATGAATGCTCAAACCCAGATGGAACGGAGATCTGCAGCGCTGCTGATCCGCTTGCTGGAGGAGGGCTCAGCTGGAATGAGAAAATGGGAGGCCCCCGGGTGAGCTGGGGAAGGGGGAGAGGGTGGCACTGGGACAGGTATCGTGGCAATAGGTGGTGCGTCAAGTGGCTGGGGTCCCTTGCTGGCTTTGAAATGAGTCCTGATCGGTTCAGAAAAGCATCAGGGAAGGCTCTGGTAGGTTCAGTGGCAGTTCACCTGTGGATAATAGAGCAGCAGGTTAGTGCATGTCTGTAAGAGTGAATTTTGCATGAGATCAGGCTGGGCTCTGGCTACAGACTCTGAGCTGCAGGCTCCTGGCAGCTCGGCTTTGGCAGAGACCTCTGAGGGGCTGGGAGGGAGAAATGCAAAAGCACGCTGGAGCATCGGGAGCCTGGGCTGGGGAAATGAGGAGCAAAGGGATTCCTTTTCTGTGGGGCCCCACTGTGGGTGCAGGACCCATGGGTGGGGCACAGGGAGGCATCTGCTGTGAGGGATACTCTGCAGAACAGAGGCTGGGGATGCGTTAGAGGGGAGCCAACTTAAAACCGAGCAGTTTGCGCTGCAGAGGTTTTTTCAAAGAAGTATCAGGCTGTGAGAAGCGAGGTGGCTTCTGCGTAGCCCTTTAGCCCCTGTGTTCCTCTGCCTTGCTCTTTGTCAGGGCAGGTTGGCCTGCTCTGAGCTTTGTGCTGTCCCTTCTACCCTGCTGTAAGGGATCTTGGTGACGTTGAGCAAGGAGCCTTTGTGTCACTGAATCTGCATCAGTGGCTGCAGCATGGAGGCACCCAGCTTTTCCTTCTCTGTCAACACATCCCTGGATCTCTCATGTCCCTGTTCTCAGAAAAGCTGTCTCCTTTTCAGTCAGCTCTTTGGGGGAGTGCATGGCGAATCAGCCAGCAATTTCTCCAGACAGCACTGCTCCTCAGCCTCATGATGCTTCTCTCATCAGCTGAGATAAACCGGCTGAGAGCAGCAGGTCTTGTGTGACAAGAGCAAGTCCATTATCACCTGGGCATTCGGGCTTGGTGTCTGCCTCTGCATCCATCGCAGAAGGGCAAGATGTAACAGCAAATAGTGAGGCATTTAGTCCAGCTTGTCTTCCTCCTGCCAACTATTAAGGAAGGGTCTGTTTCTCTAGTCATGCTGCTGTACTGCTTCACCTCCCAGGTCTTGGGGAGGCTGCAAGTGCACCCCTCCACCACATCAGTCTGCTTTTGAAAATCATCTCTTGCTGTCAAGCCTGGAGCAGTCAGCGGCTGCAGGCATCGTAAGGCTCCGCTTGGCTTTGGTCTGTTCTTCTGCTCTTTGTGCCTCGGGTCTCTTGGTCAGCGTATCTTGCCTTTCATGCCAGCTTGTCCTCCTGGATATCAAGTGCCAGACTCCAAACAATGGCAGTTTGAACAGAAGGGCCCTGAAAATCCCACTCTGTTATGACTCTGTCTTGTAATCTGCCCTTACTCTCGCTACCAGACCTAGATGTTGGCTTAAATAGGAGGGTCCCTTTGAGAACAGGGAAGCATAAGGTGTGGCACATCCCTCTTGCCGTTTTGTTCTCATTACTGGCAGATTCAGACTGGGTGAAAGCAGCTACAGTCCCCTTGGCTGCCCTGGGATTTCCTTGCTTAGTCATGATATTTGGCTTACTGTGCGCTTGTGTTTCTCTCTCCAAGGGCCTAATGTATGCCAAGGCCAATGCCGAGGGTCCTCATGACTCTGGGGAGATAATGGTGTGTGCTTGTACGTCCCAGTAAATCAGGAGATGTTCAGTCAGTGCAACAGGTCATTAGGTTAGTGAGGAGCATGGTCCACTTGTCCTTCCCAGTCTGTTCTCTTTGAAATCTCCTACACGTTGCTTAAATTAGGCTGTGATGGCTTGTCTTTCTGTCTCCAGCCTCCAAGGTGCCTTGGACAGATGGATTTATCTAAGATTTGGCAGGCTTTTTAGCTCCCTGGGGCAAAGACAGTCCTCATAATAGGGACAGATTACTGGGGTCTCTGTGCCCCTGTCCTTTAGCACCTGCAGTAGAGTTCTGCTTCCAGGCACCTTGTCCTTGGCTCTTTCCAGGCCTTTTCATGAGATTGCCTCAACTTGTTCCTCCAGCCCCATTTTCACCCATGAAATCTTATTATGAAGGTGGTCTGTCCAGATAGACGCATGTATCTTTGAGGGATGGCTGCTGCCCTGGCCAGCAGGATCCATGCAGAGTCTCCCTGTTGCTGAACACCTTCTCCATGCACATAGTGCCAGCCACAGCCAGGTCCCAGACGTAGTCCCAGTGCCATGGTCTGTGGCCGTCCCAGACCCACAGCACCCTGAGAAGTGGGACCTCTCTAATCAGTGCTCCCCACTGTGTGCCAGGATTTCTTGAAGATCCTTTTCTCATATTCTTGGCCCTGCTACCCAACCGCACCTGGTGGAGCTGTCTCTCCAGCCTACTCCATTCTCGCCAGGCTAGAGACCTTCCTGCCCCATCTTAGGCTCAGGAAAGGGTTCATGGCAGACAACTGGGCTCTCCCTCCCCACTCCCAGCATGGGATGCAGCCGGCAGAAAGGGTGTGCGTGTATAGGTTTCCTCCTAAGTGTCAGTGTGGGACCCTAGAGCCCAGGGCAAAAGGCAGCTGATTAATTTCTCCTTGCGGCTCAGGCTTTCAGCACAGACAGCCAGAGATGGTCTGTCCCTGTTCTGGCACACAGCCTTTCCGCGATGGAGTGGTCCCATCTCCTCGGCACACAGACATCCACTCGCCGCAGCTCCAGGCTGAGCAGCAGTCAGGCGTCTGCTCTTCCTGCAGACTTGTGTCTGCTCTCTGCCGTGTCTGTGTCGGTGCTGATGATTCCTTTGGCAGCTCATTCGATGGCCCAGTCTGCTCCTCTCGTGGTAGCCTGCTCCCTTATATCTAACCTGAATGCTCCCTGCTGTATCTTAATCCCCTTACTTCTCCTCCATTGACTGGTAAGTCTAATTGGCTCTGCTCTTTTTCCCCATGGTCTTCCCGACACAAGCAGGCGTTATCTGGTCGCTGCAGCCTTCCCACCGCCAATCCCAGGGTCTTTTCTCCCCCAGGATCTCGCTGGGCAGACCCTGGCTTGCATGGTGGTGCAGAGGTTTTCCCAGTGTAGGAAGTCTGTCCTTCCTGGTCTGAGCCCAGTCTGGGCAAGAGGAGAGGGCCAAAGGCGCAAGCAGTGTCTTGGTCTGTCAGGGTGGCTGTATCCTCATTTCTGGTGCAGAAGTTCTCTTCAAAGTCAGTGAAGTACACAGAGCTGCTGGCCCCTTATGCAAGGAAAGCAGGACAACCTGCAGTACCCACTGGGAAGGGGAAAGCCAGGTGCTTGTCGGTACCAGGAGTCAATAACTAGAGGATCTCTGCAAACAGACGGTTTTGGTTTTTTCCATACGTCATTCACCCGTTGCAGTCTTCAAAGTGCCAAGAGCCAGGCTCAGCACTGCACTTGTCAGCACACTCTCCTCGCATACCGGGGTGAGTGAGGCGGGAACGCTGCCAGCTCCTCGTCCTGGCCCTTCATGGCACTAATACATCCCTAGAAGAGAGCTAGTCCTTACTGCTGCAAGGCTGGACAGTAAGTTTGGGATATTTGGTGTTTCCTGTTGCCAGTATACTTGTATACAGTATACAGGTACTTAAAAGCTCTCCAGCTTTCCTGAACTAGAAAGAGAGAACGAGCGTGTGAGAAGCTCTGGATTAGCTGATCTTCAAGACACATCACCCATTTATCCATCTGTCAGCACACACTGAAAACCTGCCAGATGGTGCCTACCATTTCGCTTGTGCAGAACCAGGCGGTGACACCAACCAGGCTGGTGGTACTTGAGCCCACTGTGTGTCCTGCAGACCACACCAAGGAGGGGGATTTCAGAGAGGGCTTTCAGACTGAGCAACTCCAGGGGCATTCGTTAGGACAGGGAGAGGAAATCTCAGTTTACGGCCAAGGCCAAGCCTTCCGGAGTCACACACCAGGCAAATTCTCGGGATTAACGCTGGGGAAACTGCTGTTTTTCTGAGGTCAAACAAGCACACCCCCTTCCCTTTCCACTCCCCATAAAATGCACGTGTTAGAGACCCGGCGTGTCCCTGCCCGCTTTGATGTCTCTCCACTCAAGAGTCTGCAGAGCTGTTTAGTAACTGATGGATGCTCACAGGGAGGGGACTGCAAGAAGAGGCTTATTAAGTGGAAGTTTAGGAAAATTAGGTAGCATCCAATGTTGGTTAAACAGTGCCTGCTGATTTGCCTGTGGGAAGAATAATACCTTTCAAGCTCTCCTTCCAACCTTTCCAACCATGGCTTCAGTACTGCTGTCTAGTATCACCAGGGTGCTGCCTTATTTTTAGCAGGGTAAAACCATGCTGCAGTGTGCTCCTACTCTGTTGCAGTAGCTCTGGGGCATGGGTCTGAAATACTACACCATCACCAAGAAGTTGTGTTGCCAGAGAGCTACAAGTCTCAATTTGTGATGTGTGCTGCTAATCATGTTTCGTTCCTATTTGGTGGTTAGAATAAGGTCTGTTTGAATATGATCTGGATCCAGACCATCTCAGAAAAGGGACGTGGTTTAAGTGTTAGCTCTGTTTGGTAACGCTGCCTCCTGTGATGTATGTGGGCCTAGAGTCTCCACCAAGCCAGGTATTTGTGGGGACCAAAAGCTGGTTCATAGGACCTGGGAGTCCAGTGGGGATTTGGGGCCTACCTAGGGCTCTTTTCCCCGTGGGCATTCTCGAAAAAGGGGAAAGGGGCTTAGTCACATTTCAGGTAGAAATTAATGTGTCATGTTCATTCCTAGTGTAATTTTATTGAAGTCAGTGGTACTATACCAATGTGAGCTTGGCTTAGCAACTTCTCAGAGTGGTCTGTCCTTGAGACCAGACAAATTGATCTGTCACAGCCTTGCTTTTATGCATAGAGTTCATGCTGGGATTTGGCCAACATGAATGAATGTTGAATATCTACTGTCTCTGCAAGCAGTGGGTTGAATTGTTCTGCTCTACTGCCTCCATCACAGCTGCTCCGCCAAGGGAAACGTTATGCCCGTGGATGCGATCTCATCAACTCTCTCAAAAGCAAGCTAACAAGCAAATTGACCTCCACCGTACTGGGAGAGGAGCCTTCCCACAGGACTGTAGTCTTTCCGCACACGAGGGAAAAGAGGTCCCAAGGACAGAACTGAACCTGCAAGACCCATGGCCTCAAGGCCTCCTGTTCCTTCTTCCCTTCTCATCTAGTCTGTCTCTCCTGGGAGAGGGGCAGTTTCTTTGTGGAGTTCAGCAAGCTCCTCTTCCTGCAGCTCCTAAACAGGCTCTACTGACAGGTACATCGTCCACCTATGCAACACTTCCAGAAGCTGCCGAGTTTTCAGGAGCCCGTTACAATGTGCAGCATGGCCATCCAGCACTGAGAATAAGCACAGCGGCTGCTGGAAAACTAAGTGGGTTTTATTCCTCTCCCCCTCCCAAGGAAGAGTGTTTTTGTTGGGGATTTTTTGTTTGTTCATTTGGTTTTTGTAAACTTCATTTGGGCAAATGAAGCTTGTGAGAAATCGGTGCCCATCCTGAACCCTCCCCAGTCCTTTGAACTTCGGGAACGGATGGATCACCTACTGTGATTATAATTTAGCAGATTTTGTAGAGCAGAGTAACTTCACACACAGACACATGAGGTTCTTTCACTCTCCATCAGCACAAGCTGCTTCTGCGATCTTAGCTACTCACATTAGTGAAAGAAAAAGCCTAGCTAGAATGTGGTGAGATGACTTAGTATTTTGTATCAGTCCCATGGTCCCCATGTCCATTAGCAGCGCCGTCAGCTGCCGTGCCATGAATTTGGATTTTGGATGGCAGCCCCTGAACCAGTCAGGGTGAAAACGTTTGGAAAAACCCACGCCTGAGTCTATATGTGTCCCCAGAAGCAGACGCAAAGAGAGGATCAGCGGAAAGCAGCCGTCGCCTCCTGCTCAGCCCAGCCAGAAGCTGGTGGGCTCTGTTCGTGCGGCACCTGCCCTCCCCGGGAGAGCCGGTCCCCGGGGGCCGAGCAGAGGGGAATGAAAGTAACGGCACGTCTGACGAAGCAGCATGCACAGCACCCTTCTGCCGGCTGGGGAAAAAGCGGCGCCAGCAAGAACCCAAAATAACAGGATTTCACTTTGGAAATGCCAACGGCTTTTTCAAACTGAAATGAGACTGAAAGGCCTTAACAGTTGTGAGAAGCGTTTCACGTTGCTGTTCTTTGCTTAAAAAAAAAAAAAAAAAATTGATTTTTAACAACAAGGTGGGTTTAACCACTCCAGCCGGCTCGGTTAGAAATGCGCAGTGCTGGCGGAGAAGAAATGCTCGAGGAAGATTGGGATGGTGACCCTGTGGCTTCGCAGTGGGGTAGGCTGATCAGGGGCAGAGGCTGGAGTTTAAAATCTTCCTCTGCCCCTGGAGGTGTGACCTGGCTGTCCACCCACGCGTGTGCGTGTGGCAGGGCGGGTTTCTGCGTGATCGTGTGCACGGCCGGGACCCGCGGCCCCGCAGAGGGTTGGCGCGTTTGTGGCTTTGGTTTGGTGTCGCCCATCCGTCCTTGGGGCAGGGGCTCTGCAGGGTGGCAGAGCATTGCTTGTTCCTTGTGAGAGGAAACTCCTGACCTGGTTTTTGTGAGGAAATGGTGTGAAGTGTCACATTGGCTGTAGCGAGTGGCAGGGAGCCGGGATAAAAGCGTGGAGCAAGCTGTGTTTGAGAACAAGCTAATCCCTTGCTGGCTGCCTCAACTGGGAGAGCCGCTGGATCTGCTCCCTGGCCAACACTCTCCAGCTCTTCTCACCTTCCCCAGACCTGATGTGCAAGCTGTCATCCCTCTGAGCTGGCCAAAGCACCCCGCACCCCTGAACTCCTCCGAGGCCGTGCGTTCACATCGTTTTGGTCCTCTCCCTGCTAGGCACTGTGGGTGACCCTGGCGTTGACCACGGTGACCTCAGGCGTGCTGGTGGCCAGACCTCGCCACAACCTGCTGGTTTGCCGGCTCACAGCCTCCCAACAGTGCTCCCGGCCCTGGCGTGCCTCCTGCTCGTTAGGTGGAGAGACAGCACAGCCTGCAGAGCACTGCAGCACGTCCTGGCCTCACTTTTGCATCACTTCATGCTTTCCCAGAGAATTTCGCAGCACCCCTCTTGAGCCTCTGTAGACAGGCTAAGTTCAACAGACCGAAGTTAGAAAACAGAAGGCCTTGATATTTTGGTGGTCCTGATCTCCAGAGCCCTGGTGCTGTCCCTGGGGAGGAGAGGCAGGTTGGCTCTTGTGAAAGCAGTGTGTCTGCTGGGGGAATCTCTGAACGTGGTCTCAGTGCTTCTCCACCGGGACCGAGGGCAGCTTTGCTGTGGGCTGAACAGGGCGCAGCTGATGGAGGAGCTGGCTGAGGAGGGCAGAACAGCATGTGAATGCCCAGCAAGACGTCTGGAGAAAAAAAGGCTGCAGAAGAAGAGCTGTAAAAGGCTTTGCAAATGCGGTGGTTTTTACAGGAGACAGAAGGCAAGACAGGGCAGGAGGCTGCTGTGCTGGAGCGGCGGGGAGAGAGCAGGGGAGACAGAGGGAGCAGGGAGCTTGATGGAGGAGCTGGGGGATAAAGCAGGCTTTCAAAGCAGGCTGTGCATGCTCTGGCTGAGGAGACAGGCAGGAGGTATTTCTGAGCTGAGGCGCCCAGGCCAAGCCTCGCTGCATTGTCAGAGGAGCGATGCTGCCTCCAAGCCCAGCACTGACAGCCTGAGCGTGTGTCACCAAACCGCAGTGGCTAATGCAGCCACAAGGTGTAAATGTCACTAATGAATAAATTGCCTTGTGCCTTGGAGAGGCTAATCCATCACGGTCGGGGACAGGGATCTGACAGGCTTGGCTATTTCAGGCATAGCCTGTAGGGAGGAGGAATGCTTCATTTCTGAGCCATCCCCTCCACCTAGGGAAGCTGCTGCAGGGCTTGGCTCTGTGCTGCTCCCCAGCTTCCCAGCCGCATGAGCTCAGGCTTCGTCCTTCCCTGCAACCAAAGGAGGAAGCAGGAGAGGGTCTAGGTTAGCCAAAAGTGCCCTGTCAGTAGGGTGGTGCACGGGCCCCGGCCAGGGGCTGGAGTTTGGAGGGAGGCTGCTGCACATAGGACACGGGTGGTGTAGGTGCTGACGGGATAAAGTGGTGGGTCCCCAATGATCGGGAGAGCTTGCATCAGTCGTCTGGGGTGCAGGGTCGTGACCTGCACCGTGTGTGTTTCAGGCCAGTAGTGCTTGGTACCGTGTTTTACAAACGTGCCATTTATTCCCCAGTTCAGTTTCATGGTTTGCCCCTGTAAGAGGTGATTTGGAAACGCTCCAAGCCTGCCCTCAAGCCCTCACCCAGTCTGGTGACAGCTCTACTATGCTGTCCCAGGGGCAGTGCACAGCCCCCTCCCCTCGATTTTCCCCTCCCTGCTGTTGAACTCCAAGTGCACAGCTCCCCCCCCTCTATTTTCCCCTCCCTGCTGTTGAACTCCAGCCACCAGCACCTGGGCTGACTGTGCAGAGGGCCAGCAGGTACCCGGTAGGCAGGGACAGAAGCTCAGCGTGGCCCAACCCAGCTCCGTGGGAGCAAAAGGAGGCTAATCTGCCCATCCCCGCGGCAGCCTGCTCCTCCACCCCCAATCAGCGTCTGAAGTCAACCCGCCGTCCTGTTCATGACGTACGCCAGCGTGACACCTCGCAGATCGGTGCCTGGGTCGCTGGGAGCAGAAGCTGCCAGGCTTGGGAAGCCGGCCACCGGCCCCTGCCGCCGCGCGCTGCGCTCCGAGCGGCGGGCACAGGGCTTGCCATCTGCTGCGGGGGGGGGCCAGCCGGGACCCCCCTGCTCCGGCCCCACCGGGCACCCGGTAACGTCGTTCAGGTGTCATTCTCCCTCCTTTACTTGCCGGCCACCTCCCCTCCCCGTCTTCCCCCGTTTCTCTGGCACAGACCCACGGGCGGGGGGGATGCTCCCAGCTTGGCCGGGGTCCCTCTCCTGCTGATTGCCGCTCACACTGTGTCGGTGGGTGGTGGTGGGAGGGAAGGCCAGCTCCCAGGCAAAGCGCCGGAGGTTGTTCCCTCCTCCAGACAGAGGCACACAGCTGACCCCCCCCCCCCGACCCCCATCCTCAAAGCCCCTCAGTACTCCTTAGGGGTGGATCTCACAGGAGAGGTAAAGGATCCACACTGCACTTCCCAGCACAGAGTGACCTGCTAGTTACCGCTCTGCAGGGCAGTCCCACACCCACAGTGACCGGCCCTGAAGCTGACCAGTGACCCACCAACGACAGGACTGTTCGCGTTCAATCTGCTGTTGCTGTCGGGGCTTTCATTTTTACCAGTGTGCATGGCGGTTGCAATGGTTTCAGCCCTTGCCAACTGGCAGATAGCGGACTGTTGGGTTTGGATGTGGGGGAGTGGTGCAGGTTTGGGCTTTGGGCTTTGGCCAAGAGGTTGGTGGGAGGGAAGGCAGAGGGTTCTCCAGGCAGCAGCTACCTGTCCAGGCGCTCCCACGTGTGGCAGCCCAGGAGTGGGTTTGGAAGGTGCTCAGGTGGAGCTGCAGGAAGTGGAGCTGTGAGCATCCTGGGAAGCAAGTCAACAGTTGTTCTGGTGATGATACATTTTCCCAAGCCCCTTTCTTTCCATCCCTGTTCCTCACTGGCTCTGGTGGCCAGTCCCTCCTCATGTGTCTGCCAGCATGTCTGAGGGATCTCATCGCTGCCCTCCCAGCACGAGCTTTCATTGCACAACTGGCTGACCAGACGCAGCCCTGTACGTGGAACTAAAGACAGGCTTGCCCAGGACCAGGCCACCCCCATTCGGCCCCCGCCCCACCCTTGCTGCTGGAGCTGTTCCTTCATCAGCCTGATGCTGATCTGGGTCTTTTCTGCTGTTTCTGAACACGAGTTCTCATCTCATTCAGGTATGTCATTCAGTGGAAATATTTTGTAAATGCAAATAAAAAGAAATAAATCTATTCAATACCTCGGTCTCGAGGATGGGAAGTAAGTAGTGGGAGACTCCTGGCTGGGGAGATTTCACAGCTGCTGCTGCTGCTTAGGATTTCTTGTAGCCCCTGGAGCATCCGTGAATAGTTGGGAAGGGAGCTACGCAGACGTGTGAGGGCTTGGGGCTGAACCCTGCCGACACCCCTCGTGCAGCCACCACCACCCGGGACAGCCTCACACTCCATCCTCCCTGACTGATAAGGGCGCGATACGGCACAGGTAAAAGTCCTGTCAGCCGGGGGCCGGGGGCCAGCGGCACTGCGGGTGTCTGTGTCCATCAGGCAGAGCAAGGCAGAAGCGGGTACGTGGCAAACACATTCTTTTGTGAACACTGGGAAACAGTTTTTACTTTTCAACTCTGTCAATATGATCTAGCTCTGTCTGTTTCTCTATATATGTACAAACAGTATATCACAATGTTGCCTTTTTTGTTGGAAATATCAAAGTACAAAGATTGTAAACCAAATCGGTGTAATAAAAGTTTCAGATGATTCACTGAGGTGGCTGCCAGCAGTGGGTCTGTGAGCGCTGGTGCCGGGCAGGGCTGGGAGACGTGAAGCCCCTCCATTCCTCAGAGGGCAGAGGGGATGGAGGTCAGCCTGCTCGCTTAATCCCCTGCTGACCTCTCCTGAGTGGGGTGGTCAAAGGACCAAGGTGATCGTGTATGTGCCCTGTCCTGTCCTCAGATGGCCACAGCCCGTGGGGCAGAAGGAAGCTGCTCTGTTTTCCTCCAAGCCCAAGGAAGCTGCTCTGTTTTCAACCCCGTGGGCTGTGTGGGCCAGCAGTCCTGCAGGGATCCCTCACTCTCGAAGTTATGCAAAACACAGATTTTTTTGACAGATTTGCACAGAAAACCATTACTAGTTAAGGTGAGCATCCGGCTGTAAAGAATTCACGTGCTTGCAAAGCCAGCTGGCACTGGTCAAAGACATAGCAATCCAAAGCAGGAAACCATGATGGAGAAACCTATCATTTATTGATTTTTTTTTTTTTTGACTTTTCACCACCTATATCTGAGACTCCAGACAGATTTTGCTGTAAAAATGAGTAAATCCTTGAGCAGAGCAATAGCTAGAAAAAGCTGCTGAGGAACTATAAACAACTTTCCCTCTATCCTCTATGCAGCTCATGTACTCCTCAGCAAAAAGCCTAAAAGAGCTGCCTGCCCTGAAAGTTAGGTCTGGACCAGACCATTTAGACGGTGGCGACTTCTCCTTAGCAACTTTACAGGGGGAACAACGTCCAGCTGCCTGAACTAAGCTTGCTGCTGGAGCATGTAAGAAGCACCACAGGAGGTGGGATTTAGTCTGGGGGCAGTGGGAGAGAGGGCTGGAGAGGCAGATTGCTTCTGCGATGTCAGTACAGTCCCATGAGGTCTCAACATCTGTTTCATATTAAGTCACAGGTTGGATGACGGGGATCTGGGAAGGGCTGCAGTGGCAGTCACAAGTTGAGTGTTTCTCAGAAATACAAATAAAAACAAGCCTCTGAAGTAAAGTATCTCCAACACTGCACCTGCAAAGCTCGTTGCTCTCTGGAGCGTTTTCTTCAGAGAGGTTTGGTGGGGGGGTGCTGCAGAGACCCCAGCCTTGCCGCTTCCCAGTTGGCCCACACAATTTGATGAATGAAGTACTCGGTCTCCTCACCCACCTCTGCCAGGCGGAGGTCAAACTCTGTCAAAACCTTGTTATCCGCCAGCCCTTCAAGCAGCTGCTTCCCACCATCCTGCAAATGGGTGAGAAAGGGGGGGGGGGGGTGAAAGGAGGGGATCCAAAAGTGAAGTGTATTGCTCCCTTTCCCTCCTCCCCAGGGCAACTTCTGCTGCCGGTGATGGGGAGCCCATGAGATGGTGCCAAAAGGGATGAAGGCCTTCACCTAAGCCCAAAATGTTGCTCACAGAAGTGCACAGGGAAGGAGCGTAACCTTATGCAGCGCTCATTGATATGACACATGCTAATGACACCCTCTGGGTACCGTGTCAAGAATCCTCAAGCTCAGGCTGGTTAATAGCACGGCTGGCGATGATAACCCGAGAGGAGTCTCTGCTCTCCCCTGTCCCGCGGTCCCCAGCTCGCTGCTGGCTGGGGACAAAGGGCAGTGCGATTAGTGTGCTGCTCCTCATCTCAGCAGAGGCGAGGGCCCCAGCAATAGCAGCCTCCTGCCCAAATGCCATTTCCCCAGCTGGGTTGGATTTCCTGAGGGAAACACCTTCACGCAACTGAAGTCCAACCTGCCTGGGACAGAAAATGCAATGTAGCTAGCCTTGGGGCAGCAACTCAGTTTGGGGCATTTCCCTCCCTTACTGTCTTTTGGGATGTGACAATTTGACTTTCCCTCTACCCCACGGCTATTCTCTTTCAGGTATTAAATACACCTCCTGCCCCTATCTCCTCCATCCAGGCGGTCCCCTTGTCCCAGCACCCTGCCTCTTAAACCTTTTGCCAAAAAGGACAGAGCAAAAGGGACTGGGAAGGAGTCCTTTTTTTTTGTTTGTTTTTTGTTTTGTTTTTTTTTTTTTTATGGGATACAGAGATCAGAATTTGGTGCATCTCTAAAAAAGACCCCCATTTCCCCGAAGATAATATCACCAGCCAACTTGCTGGGCTGCTCTGGAGCTTCATCAATGGGTAGCAGGAGAGCTTATCCAAAGAAAGGTGTTAAGCATAGAGATTATTACCTGCTAAGCAAAAATCCTTCTATTCTTTCCAAACTTTGCCCGCTTGTATCATTAAACTCAAATGGCTTTCCATGTCCAGGATCATAAAAAACTCAGAACTCACAAAAGGTTTTCTGCCATCAAATCCTTTTAAAACCGTTGTCAAACACATTGATGCCAATATTCCTGCCAGCAGGGACAGCTGGTCTTGCTGCCTCTTTATTGTGACAGTGAGAAAAATTGAGGCAGTGCAGAAAGTTTAAAAGCCAGCATGATTGCATTTGGCTGTCTAGTTTCAGATTTCTAAAGCTCTTTTTAATCAGCAGAAGAGAAGCAGTCTGGCTTGTGGGCATGTTGCATACTGCAGCTCTTAGGGATGTAGTAAGATCTGTGAATGCTCCTCCATCTAGAAAATGTACACTTGTGGTTTAGGAGCCACTTACAAGCACCCAGACGTGACACTTTTGACCTACCGCACCACTCGAGAGCTGCAGGGTGAGTTAAAGGAGCTCAACAACCACGACAATTTTTCAAGAGCCTCCTCTGAGTGCGTGATGGACAGGAGAGATTCGGGGAAGGGTGACACTATGTGTGTGCTGCTGAGTGACAGATGGCACAGCAGATCCAAAGAACAGAGGATATGCATAAGGCCCTCATCTCATGCCACCTATCATTATTATCTCCCACGTGTGTGAAGTGGCGGTGATTTTTCCCAGACATACTACCTGGTTTTCAGTTTCCTTGGGGGAAAATCCCTCCCTGCCCAAAAGCCCAAACCCTGGAAGCCAGATTCAGCCCTGTGAACAGAGATAGATGTAACAAGTGAGATATATGCGTGTGCATGTGCAGAAGACGTCCTCCTCCTTCCTGACGTCTGCTAAAGTCTGTTCCCTGCTCACAGCTGATGGTTATCGCAGCAAGATTGCAAAGTGGGGGATGCATTTGCCTTTGAGGCCGTGCCTTTGAGGCAGGGCAGGCTCAGCATCTGCTTTGCAAAGCCACCGCGCAGGCTCACCAACTGCCGGGAGAAGGGGGTTTGTTTCTCTTACCAGCCCCAGGTGGTTGCATGAGAAGCTGATGCTCGTCAGGGTGGTATTCTGAGCCAGGACCCGGGAGAAAAGCACAGCGGTTGGCTCCGACAGGTTATTACTTCCCAGGTGGATGGATTTCAGGGTGGTGTTGCTCAGCAAGGCATGGCCGATCGCCTCCCCGCCTTTGTCCTCCACGTGGTTGAGGCGCAAATTCAGGGAGATCAGGGTAGAATTCTCAGCCAGGGCTTGAGCAAGAGCCCGAGCCCCCGGGTGACCGATCTGGTTGTTACACAGATCGAGGGTTTCTAATCTGCTGTGGTTGATCAACTTGCCAACAGCTTGTGCCCCCTTGTCCCTGATGAGGTTGTGGGACAAGTTCAGCTCCACCAAGCAGGGGTGGTCCAGCAAGCTATGGACCAGCAGCCTGGTCTTATCATCATCCACTTTGCTTCGTGTAAGCTTGAAAACCTGTGGGGATAAAGGACAGGGACACTAAAACAGCCAGCGCTTTGGATTGAGCTTTGTACAAGACCTCAAGGATGTTAAGCCTATGTTCCATCAGACAGGATTAATCTCCCTTCATTTCAAGCACCTTTAGCCAGGAGGCTCAAGTAGTTGCTTTTATAGTGAGCAGATCCTTCCAGCAGGCAGGGCATGGCACTGATGTCCCACACCCGGAGAAATGGTTCATCTCCTGGACATGCCTGTTCCTGTTCTCTGACTCCACAGGATCTCTGTCACAGGGGGCCAAATCAAAATGAGATAAAGCTGCCCAAACGTCTGCAGAGAGTAACATTAAAACACAACCCAACTCACAGGGCAATGTCCTGTGTGGCCAGGGCACCTTAATAGCCACAGGAGAGATAATTTCTCTTCTGGAAGCATAACAGGCAACTATTTCCCAAAGCACGCCGATTTGTGGGGAGAGCATTCAGCCAGCTCGCTCTGGCTGCACTCTGGATAGCAACGTCTGCTGATGTTTTGGAGGGGCTGAGTATCTGCACTGCAGTTGTCACAGAACTGAAGATGATGTTAGTGCCCAGAAGAAAACCCTCTCATCATTCTAAAACAAACGTGAGTATTTCCCCATGTTCTTCTCAGGGGTCACTACTATATTGATGTGTATTTACTGAGCATAACTACCAAAACCTCCTTATGAAAAGCTCTCTCTGGGCTTCTCCTCTCCTCCCTCCCAGAACTATGCGAGGAGTTAAACAGGAGTGTTGCTTTCTCTTGCACTACAGGGAACATGTTTTGTGGGAGCAAGTATTTTTCTCACCGACCCTCTGACAACCTGTTCTAACAAGAACATATGCAGAACAAGGTACTCAGCACTAGGCCAGCAAGTTAACATCTCTGCACTCTGCCAGACTGCAACTTGTAAAATGAATGGTGCTGCCAGCAAGAAAATGTGTTCCCTGAGTTCCTATCCCCGGGAAATTTGAAGATCTAGCTGAGGAAGGCAGGTTCAGTTTGGGATACATTACTTTCAAGTTGTGGCACATCTTCACGGCAGCAGCCAGGTTACAGCAGTCCTGGTGGGTGAAGTTAAAGAGGTTCCACTCAAAGTTCATGCCGCAGTCCTTCACGCCGTAAGTGAGATGAAGCTCTTCAAGGTGAGGGAGGGCAGTAATGAGGTCTCCCAGGTCATAGTGATGCATGGAGAGCTTGTCGAATCCCAAATCACTCCCTGTATCAGAGAGGTCATCCCTTTTCTCCTTTTGATCCACCTGCACTGGTGGCAGAAACTGATCAACCTCCAGTTTCCACACGTAGTCTTTGCAGAGCGGGATGAGCTCTAGGACCTGGTTG